TGTTACCAAGTATATTAACTTTCTAGACAAAGAGTTTGATTTGGTTATGATTATGGATTACTTTGACGAATCATTAATATTGTTGAAGCGGCTGTTGTGTTGGGAAATAGATGATATTTTGAACGTGAAGGTAAACGAAAGACTAGACCAGGAAAAGGCTTTTTATCTAAGTGACAGAGTAAAGGAAAACATAAAACGGTGGAATAAGGCAGACGTTCTGTTATTCACTTACTTCAATGCAACATTTTGGGAAAAAATAGAAATGGAAGGTTCGGGGTTTTACGAAGACCTGTCTGCTTTCCGTGAAAAGAGAAAGAAGCTTCAGCAAATGTGTTTTGAGAATGGAACTGGGGCAGTGCAGGAGGTTTTTACGGGAAAAATTGTGAAGAGCTATTCCACTAGAAATGATTTGAATTCAAGTTTTAAATTTTTGTGTAATCGCTTGATCAAAACGGAAAACGATTACCTAGATGAGCTGCGTAGAAAGCGTAAGGAACAATTGGAATCAGAGTTGGAGAAACAGACCAGGATTGATGACTCTACTAGTTGGAACGTGGCAAAAGATTTGCAGTATGTACCCGTAGAAGCTTAATACACTGTAATTAGTTGGGACAGGCTGGGAGCATGTGAAGCAGGTGAAAAGGATTTTCCCGTTACTTCTTTATCAAGGCTGCTTTTGCGCATGTTCACCCAGGAATCCATTAGCTTATATGACCCAATCAAATGGTAATTTATTACCGTGGAACCTATTTTCAGGGGACACACTCGGGACCAAGTCAAGTGTCCCCTAAATAGATCGACTCTGTTACAGTCAACTTTCACTTTGCAAACACCCTGCTATTCAAGTAGAGTTTTCGGAATCGGAAAGACTCATAAACATTTTTAGGTAATTAGATGCAAAGTGGTGTTTGATTCAATTGCAGTAGTTATTAATTGTTAAAAATTAAAAGTAGATTTGAGTTTTTAGCATAACGAATACACGTGGTGGAATGCAAACTTATTTTTTTGTGTGTATAATCTGCTTCAAACCAAACAAAGCTACCAAGAGTAGCAGCATTAGGAAATAATGTGGTAGTAGGATTAACAAGTTTATCAGTCGAGGAGGGTTTCTCAAGAGCACCTCCTGGTGAAATGGGTTTCGTGACAAAATATTAAAATCCAGCGAGAAAATAAACTTAAATGAACAAAGCTGAATTTTTCGGCATGTTTTTCAAACGGTTCTGGTTGCTATTCAACGGTGAAGATTGAATACGCTTTCATAAATTGTTTTTTATCATTTTTTATGGCAAGAATAAGGAAACTATAAACGAAACGGAGCATAAGGCAAGTTCCAAAAGCCACCGGGAATTTAGGCTGATTTCGTGGTGAAAATAGACAGCATTTTTGACTTCATTCATTCGTTGTTGTAAAAACCCATTTCATGGCAACTTACTAGTCTCCCTCGCAGCCGTTTTTTTGGATCTCACGCAACGCTCCAGCAGCCGTTCTTTTGGGGGAGTGTTGCGTGACATCCAAAAAACGGCTGCGAGGGAGACTAGGCAACTTACCAACGCCACTAAGAAAAAAAATAATACAAAGTTGGCAAGTACCCTCTGCAGAGTATGGCAGAACTCGACGAGATCTCGCGCGTGCAGAGCCAATTTTAGCCGCGTGCACCCCTTGGAATACGAGTTTGTTTATACCAGACTACGGGTGCATGCCCATAGAGAGGCTCAGTATTAGAAGGATGCGAGTTTTAGGCGCATTTCCAGCTGTTTTAGATGACCCAAATTTCAAATTTTCCCAGGGGAACATGCCCCCGGACCCCCCTAGTATGTTCATGCACCACCGTTCAGTTCACTCGACAGAAGGGCTACAAACGAGATTACAGACAAATTGCCAATCCATTCATTCGGATATAACCTCACCATACTGATGAGAAAGCAATAGTGTAAGCAAGGGACGTGGAAATGATGTGGGAGAGCAGAGAGGTTAGGATAGATTTGGCCAAAAATATCTTGGCTACGCCCCAGTATAAAGTCAGTTGCAAATCTCTTTATAGGCCCAATGCTGCCGCATGCAATGCTACGATTTGGTGTGCGCAATACGCTTTTTTAAAAAAGGCTCATGTGTGCACTTGCCATGCTCTACTTACTGGAATTTATTTATTTTGAGTTTGGATTTTGACAAGGACAAGCTTCCAACATGACATGGACAAGCATCCAAATGAAATACTAAGCAAAATCATATTTATCAGGTCTTAATTTCTTGAAACTTTTCGTGGCCATACCACAGATGTCACGTTAACAAGCAACTATGCAATGCCGGTTAAAACGATGATGATGATGATGATGATGATGATTGTTTGATTATGATAGTGACTGTGGCACGTGTTGTGCTCGGAGTTCGTTTGTTTGTTTGTGTTTTTTTTTGGTTTTATGAAATATTAGTATAGCACATATTCATTGCAATAAACACTTAGTAATAGACCTATTCGGTTAACTCAATGTTGTACCCACTTCAAACCCTTTGCGAATACAATCAGCTCTCTCTTAACGGACACCTCTGTAAAACGGACACTTAGAGTTGGTCCCTGCCTTTCTTTACTCCCTTTATTTCACTCTTTATTTATAAGACGGACACCTCTCTAAGACGGACACTTAGTGCCGGTCCCAAAGGTGTCCGTCTTAGAGAGAGTTGACTGAAAAACGTTTTGTTTCAGGAATTTCCATATCATTTAAATGTGAATGTCACATTATAATGCAAATACAATACACAAAGAATCTTAACCCCGGGAGATTTGAATTGGGTACAACACTGAGTTAGCCGAATAGGACTATGAATATCGTTACGTCTCGCAGGTAATGAAAACGAATTTCTGCGTTGCCCGCGCTACTAGTAAAACTTTCAAAATCTCTCGCTGTTTTGGTCACTATCCCATGGTCTCGAGGTCGTCCACATGTAATGAGTTGTACTTCCCTGCATAGATCTTGAAGCTGGAAGGCCGCAGTTGATGTGAATATTTTCCTCCGCCCCCACTTGAGAAATTGGTGCTGAAAACCGTTCAGTGGAATGTTATCATTATCGTTGTTGTTGTTGTTGATACTTATTATTGGGTTTACTTGTCCTGCGAGCATCCGTTTCAAGTTTATGACAAAATGCGACGATTATAACAAAGTGCAACAGAACATGCGTGATGTGGTTATATGAATTCATACTATTTTTCATTTCCTAGCGGATTTTTGTTTGGACGTAAAGGCCGAGAGGAGGAATGTCTGAAGACCATTCATTGTCCTTGTCATGGTGGGTTGGGTGCAGCCCCACCCCAATGGGGTTATTTTGAATTTGTCACTGTACTTTAAATCGTTTGTACGGTGAGAAACAGGGCGTGGTGAGAAACTTCTTTTTTTCATCCGAGCAACAAATTTTTCAGTTTTTTTCATTTCTGTTGTTGTTGTTGTTGTTTTCTAGCAAATGTGTATTTCGTATGCAGCTCTCTGGCTAGTACAGCGTAGTTTGGGTTTCGTTAGTTTCCTGTCTTCAATCATTTACAGGTGATGACAGATCATGTATTTTTGGTGACGAACACATATAACAATATCATTAATGATTTTTGATATTGTCATTATAAATGACACTCTTTAGGGTGGATGAGTATGAAAATAACGTATGGTGTGTGATTTATGTGCAACATACGCGTATAGCTGTCGGATTTCCCAGCTGGAATTTTTATTGTCTTTAGGGCGAAAACAATAAACAATTCCAACAGGCAAATGCGACAGTTATACGCGTATGTTGCAAATCCACTCAAAATTTGTGAGCGATTCTTTTCTTGCTTGTGTCTTACCTGGGGTCATTTACATAAAGAAAGTTCAGAAGTATGAAAACAACGAGATTGACTAGGCTTAGCGTTTACGTCGAACGTAAAAATGTATGCAAGTGGTCCCTGGTTTATTTATTTTTGTTGACCCAGTTTTTTCTAACATTTAATTTGTTGAGTCGGTATTTTTTTTTTTGAACGAGGTTGGGTGCTACGAAGAGCATCGTGCTTAAAAACGATTTTTGCTGTAAAGTATTAAGACTTTACGTTTGATGGGAGAGTTTTTTTCATTTCAGTTTTGTTTGCGGTATACTTTTATATCAAGCACCTACATCTCCCCTAAATATATTACCAGTCATTTTTGATTTACCTCGAACTCTAACTTGAATTTAACGGAAAATCATTTTTCCCACCCGCGATATCGAATCCCGCGCCCGCGACATACAACGCGCGACCATTAGTCAAACTCAAAATAAAAAGGCGGCTTCCCAGTTTTCGCGCCAGGGATGACGTAGTTTCCCGTAAGATCAGGTTTCATTAGTGAAAAACATCGTTTGTCCAATCAGACGCCGCGCCGCTAGTGAAATTTCATCGTTTGCGTCGCTGATTGGTTGTGACTAAAAACAGAACGATTTCCACACTTTCAATTCTGTGAGTAAATCTGAGTACTTATATAATAAACTAGAAATAACCAAAGGTTATGGACTGCAGGGGACAACGATCGATCGAAGGTCAAAACGCTTTTGCTCCATCGCTGTGCTTTGCGTACTGTTTCACTTGACGGATGGTCAAAACACGCGTGATCAGATAAAGAGTGATAGAAGGTCCAAACGCGCGTTATCAAATTGTGCTCTGTGCTTTCCATTCATTCTTAGTGGAAGTCCAGACAAATGCTAACTACATACGTGCGACGCATGCGTAATAACAACCTGGGGGTTAGGATTGCGGGCTCCTCTTGTTGCCGGCAATACATGTCAGAGGGGAGAAATGTGTGGACTTCAGGTGATCCCTTTTTAATATCCCAGCAGTTTTAATTAATTACTCTCTTTTTGAACAATAAAGGCACCAGCAAGGTGACAACTGTTAAACTGATTTATTGTTTACTATACCCTGAACTAAGACAATTTTTTGGCAAACTTGAACATTGTAGCCAGTCAAGGTGAAAACACCACAAGCAGTGTTTAAGTTTCCGTTACGCTCTCTACATTTTGTTGTTGAATGCTTTGAACACGCCTAACAGCCCACCATCTACCGTTTTCGTCCCCTTTTCAGCCTTTTCTTTGTTCTTGGCATCTGCAATCGGGGCTTCATTTTTTTTTGGGTCAGTGTCGGCATTAGAAGCGTTGGCCTTAGCGTGTCTTCCGGCATCTTTCTTTTCTTCCACTCTATTCTGATTCAATTTACCAGTTTTCTCGGACTCGGCTTTCTCTTGTAAAATAGCTTGGACTTTGGCTTCAGGTTTGACCGATAATTCTTGCTTAGGAACAGTCTTCGCTGGCGAAATACCTTGAGTTGCTGGCTTTTGCTTGACTGACGTCTTAATCTGTGAATCAGTGTTTCCTTGAAAAGTAGCATGAACTGTACCTCTAGCCTCAGTCTTAGACTCAGCTTGTACTGTTGTCGCGGGTTTAACGAGCGTCTTCGTGCCAACCTCGTCCTGGTCTTCGTCTTCGTCGGCTCCATCGTCTTCATCGTCATCATCATCATCATCTTCGTCGTCGTCGTCGTCGTCGTCTCCCGACGACTCGCTTTCCTCATCTTCGTCATCTTCCGGAACATAGTCGGCATCTTCATCAGACTTGTAACTCTCGTTGACATGAATGAGCTCCTCAATTAATGCCTCTTCCCCTTCTTCTTTGTCGTATTTTCGCTTCCGTTCAGGAGAAACCGGAAATGGCTCTGAAGCATCTATTATTCTTTGGTAATCGCCTTTCGCTGTAAGGCGTTTGGATCTCCTCAGTTTTTGCTTTCGTCCAACAATCTCCTAGATAAAATTTAAAAAACACGTTTAAGTTGTTATACCGTAAAATTCCGAAAGTAAGCCCCGGGGCTTATATTTTTTAAAAGGCCCCTATTGAGGAGCATATTTTTGGAGGGGCTCATATTCGGAGGGGCTTGTCTACGGAGAGAAGTTTGCGTTTCAAAATCGATTGGGCTAGCCTTATAGTTGGAGGTAAATTTATCGTTTTTGCTTTGTTTTACTTAGTATTTGAGGTCAATTTTCCAAGTACAAGCCCCCGGGAGGCTTATATTTCGAGGGGCTTATTTTCGGGAATTTTACGGTATCTCTGAAAACGTTTGAAAAACAGACCTCCAAAATCGAGGAAATTCACCAGTGTTCACTAAGACATTATGCTTTATTAAACGATCAGGCGATCTTGAAATTTCCCATTTGCGTGTCCTCCATGCATTTATTATATTTAATCCATAATCTTAAAAAAAATTAAATGGGTGGTGACATTTAGACCCCCTCCCCTCTCCCAAATTAACAACGGGAAAATGGCGCCTTTTGGTGTTCTCGCGGTTTCATCCAGTGCCAGTTCAGGTACATTTCTTCTCATCCAATTTTTCACAGATCGGTGAATTTTTCTGCAGTTGAATTCTAAAGAAATGTATCTAAGTTCAAAAGAAGAAAAATCATTCTTGTGTTCACCTCCTCCACAAAACATGAAATGTGGAAGTTTCAAGTTGCAGTCGTGCAACGACGGCAAAGAAATGTACAAAAAAGTGTGATGCACGAACAAAGTTGTCGTTTTGCTCCCCTGGGAGCACTCCCTAATTTGGCCTAAACGGGTATGGGCCGCTGAACAGGGTATGGTTTTAATTCAGGCTCTCGTGTCTTACACAGGGTATACAATTTCACCACTTAACGTCTTGAACAAGGTGTCTTTTTGGACTGGAACTTTTTGAAGTTAAAGAGTGTGAAGGTTAACGATAAGCGGTCTAATTTTGTGATGCAAACAATCTTTTTTCCAAAATAATTTGATTCCATAATGTTAGTTTTTAAAAATCCTTAATTCTGTCATGTGCAGGGTCATAAAACAAGTTCTCTTGTCTTAAACAGGGTAACAAAATGAACGATTTTTGTCTTAAGGAAGGTCATGGTTTGAGGGCCGCAGCGGCACACCCGCCTACCCCAAGATTCCCATGAGTGCACCCCCGCAACCCAGCCCCCCCGCCCCTCCCCGAGTGTATTACTAAACTAAACCAATAGCTTTTTTTCCGTTCTCGTTGTCGTTGCCATCGCCGTCGTCGTTACTTTAAGTCCATATTAAGGGAGCTATGTAAAGGATATTGTTATTTTAGATCAACTCTGTGTAAACGTCATTACGTACTGCCCTCCATACACAAAATGCTCCGGTGGAGTTAGAGCGATTTTCGTCTGACCTTGAAATAAAAACGCGCGAACAAAACAGAAACAACAAACGAACGGAAATAGAGCGATTTGATTGGTTTATCGAACGGATACAAACACGCGTGAGAAAAAAAAATTCATGCCCGAGAACTTTCTAGAAATCAATCGATATACTTTGCTTTGACGTCATACTGCAACACGATTCGCCAATCGAACGATGCCTAATCCATAATAAGGTTTTATTTGGCGGGAAAACGAAGAGTCCATGTTTCGATCTTTTCATCCATTGGCTGATAAAACAAATAACGAACACTTACAGAAACCATTTTTCAAGGTGATACAAAAATCGCTCTACAAAGAACATGTTGCACGAATTTCGTCAGGGAGCACAAACCACGATAATTTTGGGGGATAATTTTTGAAGCAGAGCAGTAAAACTTGAAAAGTTGGGCCAACTTTTTCAAGTTCCAATCCATCTCCACCCGCAGCAACAGAGAGCCCGGAAAAGTTTCAGTGCATGCCTAAATGTAAGAGACTTTAAGATCGAGGTTTGGTCATTTTACTGCAAACGACAAACTGCGATGTTAACGATTTCACGGTAACCGTCTACCCATATTTGGGACTTAAGATGCGTGGGTGGTAGCTCGCGACTGCCATGTTTGTTTTCATTCATCCACTTACTTCTATTTTAGCTGAGAAATTGTGTTCCAAGTTACGTTTTTTTTTAAGTAGAATTTGGTAATTAATAAGCAAAAGAGTTGTAAATAGTCGTATTTCTTCTCAAACGTTGGATTGTGATGCTTAAAGGTGCAAAAAACTTTGCGTTAAATCACTTACCTCTAAAGCGTGGCCCAGCCGTACCGTGAACGTGAACCTCAAACCTGAAACCCGACGGCAAGGCCCTGGTCACGTGACTTCTTGACGTTCGCAGTTCGCGGCAAATGCCCAAAAACACCTCAATCTTAAGGTCTCTAAAGTCTCCAATAACAAAACGGACGAAGGTTCTTGGAATTTAATTGATGCTAAAACACGTGTTAGCTTTTCAAAAAGATTGCAAAATACTGCGTCATAGTCTCTTTAAAGAAAGAGAATACCCGTTCAGATTTGAATTATCGTTTTTTCGTTTAATGTGACGCAAAGGTATTGACATACCCGCCTTTCTCCTTCACCATGAACAGGCGGTAAAAAAAGAAACTCGCCGCTATGTGTGGGGTCCGGAAAAGCTGTAAACATCCCATTAACAACCTAAATTTTTTAGAAAAAGCTTTCGTTAATATTCATTTCAAATAATTGGTTTTACGCAGGAAAGTTGCAAAAGTTAAGCCGCATGGTCAATAAAACCCGTGAAAATGGATTTTCTTTACGCGAAAACTGAATAGTTCTTGATAAGAGGTAATCCGACATCATGAAATATATATATCCAAACACGACACGATCCCTTTTAACCGTTGTCTTTTGCAGTTATCAATAAGTTTAAGAGGTTGGCTCGAAATCCAAAATACTCGGCCTTTGTCATTTGCAGGCAGCGCCAAGTAAATCGTGACAATAATGAATCTACAGGGAAAATAGCAACTATTACTGTGCGAACAAAGGTATAACCCTTAAGGCCAAAGCGAAAGAAAAGGGGGAGAGAAAAGAGGACAGTTGCTTAGTACAAGCGTTAAACTGTCAGCTCCGTGTACAAAATGCCCCGGGCCCCCAGGGGAAAAATGCACTGAAAATGGGGTTTATAAGGCCGTACTGCTACCATTTTGAACTTCGAGTAAACAGAGGTTGTCGTTTAAAAACCGTGTTTTGCTTTCACCGGTATCTTTTGAAGCAGATGTTGCGTGATGTTCCAGGTCCAGTGAGCGGCTGCTCTTGCGCGTCCAAGTCCGGCTGAGGCTACTAAAGACAGGACCTGAGGAGAGAGGAACAAAATTCAGCCAAGACTGCTTACAATCTCTTATCTTTTGGATAGGTGGTCATTGGGAGCAAGGATCAACTTTTACTGATATATGAGTCATTTAGAGTTTGTGGAAAGAATTCCGTTTGGCATGTTTGCCCGATTTTCTCCCCCTCTGGGTTGGGGAGGGGTGATATGTTTGGACTGTATTATTTCACCCGCCATACGGGAATTTCAGGTTTGTACAGCAAGCTACTGACCCCAGCTCGTGTTTTGACTGGCCGGGGTTATGGATCACTGACGTGATATTCGAGAGATTTAAAGCCGGGTGATGTTACACGGGACGATTCGCAACGACGATTTTTAGCACAACACAGCTCTTAGACTGCAAAACAGTCGGTTTTTTCCTCAAAATCAGTAAAGAAATCGGTAACGCGGGGTGTAAGACTCTTATGCGCGCGAACCGCGCGAGCCTCACACGCCCGTAGGGCGTGTGAGGCGAGAGAGAAAAAACCGTTTTTCAGCCTCGTTCCACACCTTTTGTTTGACTGCTCGCGCGTACTTGAATACGCAAAAATACGGACTGTTTTGCAGTCTACACAGCTCTTCGATGTTGGAACAATGTTGTAAACATTCGAAACAATGTCCCAACAATGTTGCAACGCTGTGTCGTCGTTGCGAATAATCTCGTGTAAGATCACCTTAAAGGAAAATATTATGCGAGCTCTAAGAATTAAATCGCTCTGAGTAAGAAATGTTTTTGTTCGACATGTTTCACCAGAGCAAGAAAACAGAATTTCAGGGTAATAGAGTATATGAGGATCAACCATCTTCACCCAGACTCTTACTTCTAATCTTTTCCCCTTGTAAATTAAGGTTGGAGGAGAGGGAAGAAAAATCCGAGAATGATCGAGGCTGTGTGTGGTCTTGTTTGCTTAAATCATAGTTAACCTTGGCGGATCCAGGGGAGGGGCCCGGGGGGCGCCCCCCTTTTTTTAGGGCAACCTGAGGCCCGATGGGCCGAAAATAATCTTTTGGAGACCGGAGCCCCGCCTTTTTTAAGGGTCTGGATACCCCCCCACCCCTATCTTAAGGTCAAGATCCGGCACTGGTTGGTTCTGAAGCTCAGCAGACTTCTTTGTAATATATGTTTTTGTAGGCGTTTTTGAGTGCAAAACGTCCCATAGCACTCCTATCATTTTGAACTAATTGACCAATAGAAACATCGCATTAATTTTCAGTCACAATTTGTGAACCAAAAACAGAGGGTTTTTCACGGTCAAGGAGCTTCCAACATAAACTGCAGCATCGTTGGTTTCATCTTCGATGTTTGCCGGCTTTCATAACCAGTCTCCTCTACTAACTATGGTTAAATTTGTCTATTATTTGACTTAATACCATTTTTTACCTTTGTTCCTTCGTCTCCGATGGTGTAACTGACTGCACGTATTCGATCCACCTTAGTTTGTACCACAGGGAGGCCAGCTTTCTCTTGGGTTTTTGCGTTCTCTTCTGGTGGTTTGAAGTAGTCAACAGCAGCTTCAGTGACCGTGATCAGAACCTCTGCTACATCAGACTGCTCAAGTTTCTCTGTTCCGAAAGCTATGACCTGGAAGAGTTTGTGCGTGGTTAAAGGTGAAAAAGTGCTTGATGACCTTTATAAATAGGAATTAAAATATGGCGATACAATTCACCTACGCCAGTCAAGGAAGAATGAGTCCTTTTTATATCCTCTTACCTAACTTCGATACGGCAAAGGGCATTATTAGAAGAAGCAGGCTTTCAATGAGCTATAAAACCAGTCTCTTATTTTTCTTTACAAAATTACTCCACGCGCGATAAACGAAAAAAATAAGAAAAATAAAATTATTATTGTAACGTCGCTGTTTGCAATTGCGCTGGCTGGGATAAGAACTGGACGGACTGCAAACAGTCTAAATGAGCTAGGGCAGAGATGTCATAATGTTCTATGCTTCGTCAAAAGAGTGAATAGCCTCACACGAGCGACGAAGCCCTGAGAATGTCTTCGTGGGAGGCTAAAGAGTAAAGAAACCACAGTTTTTACCGTAGAACAAACATTGCTCTTGCTATTCCTTGTACCCAGTACTCGTGCGAGTACAGGTGCCGGGTGTGGTCCTGCTGACCGAAAAGCTGGCGGACTCTGGGTACGAGATCAGCTTTCAATTTGACCTAAATAAACAAGTTATCTGCAAAGTTTCTTTGAGAAACACCTCGAGTTTAAAGAAATTCACCCGATCGTCTTTTTGACTACTCCTAGACTACACGTTTATTTTTCAAGATGTTTATAACAGTGGAACCCCGCCATACCACCCGACCACACTGATATTACGAACGGTTGTTTTGGACCTGAGAAAGAGTCCTTTCTTTTCCTTGTTTTATATGATCATTACAATTACCGGACTCGGAGCTCCTTTTGAAGCCGACATAAGAATCTGATTGGTTCAGCCAGAGCAGACTCAAATGGGTGTGTCTTTTGGTTGGCTATAGAGTGTTTTCACGTGACGTCACGGCGGCCATATTGGTGTCCCAAAACAATGAAACAGCGGCCATGTTTGTGTCTCAAACCAGTCCTGTGGGAGTTGAACTCTTTTCTTATGCAAACGACTTCTTTTGTTCCAATAAATTTGCATAGATGCTGACCACGTGAGTGAAAACGCTCAATAGAACACGCTTGCAGTGCATTCCAGGGCCTACATCAAACGTCGAACTTTTCATGAGATGAATCAAATCCAGCGAGTTAAATTCATTAAAAGTTCGACTTCTGGTTCAGTTAAGTTCGTCTGAATTTATGGTTTGAATCGTTCGTCTGAATGAGGTTGAGCACGTTGCATTGTAGAACTTCTCAAGATCGCCTCCGAGACAAACGTCGATCTTCACACGGACGGACTAAACTAACAAATTAAAAATTTGTGACATTATGTATACTTAGCCTCGCTCGGGAGAAAAGTTTTTACTTGTACTGGCCGACTAGAATTTCTTTTTGGTCTGATTCAGTTGATTGGTTCTACGCCGTCCTAAGTTCGACATCTGACCCAACAGAAGATCTTAACTGAATTTAGGTCGACCCAAATTAGAGTCTGGTTCGTCTCATGAAAAGTTCGACGTTTGGCCTAGACCTTAGATAAAAAAATTACTGAAAAGTAATTTTCCATAACTTGGGGCAACAGAAAATTGCTCAGTGCCTAAAGCATAATTAAACGATGCTTTTCAGTTCCATCTCTGGGTTTCCTTTGGTGGCCACAACGAGTCCACGTTTTGGTCTTTTTAACTACTAGTTCAAGTGTTAAATATAACGAACACCTAGGGAAACTTTTGTTTAAGGTCAGAGGAAAATCGCTATAATGGGATCTTTAAGAGGCAGTAACTGATCAAAACTCAAGGAATAAAGCTAAGGGCAGCGGAATACTTCTTCAATTCTTCACTTACCTTGTTTGTTTGGCCTTTTGCAACCAGCCATTTGTTTTGCAAGAATTCTAGTCCATTACAAGCCATGGTGTCGACTTGGGAAGCTGGCGAACAAATCATTAAAAACAATTCACTCTTTTCAATTCTAAAATCCACTTAGGTCCAAGCACGTAAAGTGAGAATTAAGTTAAAGAGCCGTGATTTTATTTTTTTCCCTTTATTTTCATTTTATTCCAAGAGCTAACTAACAAAGAAGATGTGGACTTTTCAAACGTACAAGGCCGATAAAGTCGGCTGAGCTGTGATCTCAGCGATCGAGCAGGGTCGCGAAGTTCAAGGTGTGGTATGCGTGGGAGTCTTTGAATGAATTTTCTCAAGAGATTGACCTGATCTAGAAGTTAAATGTTTCTGACAAAATCACAGTTTATTCTCCTAAAAAAATCTCAAGAAAACTATCAGTCGTAAATTTATCTTTATATTTCATATAGTTTTAAAAGGATTCCTTACTTGTAACTTTCAAAGAAAATGGAAATGTTACCATTTGATAGTTATTTGTTAGTTCAACTGCAAAGCTTTCATGAGCTTACGTACCTTTCTGTTCAAAACCTTCTTTCAGTTTTCCCGCAAGACCAAACTTAGGCAGAATAGAGTATGTCATATGTGAAGTCACGACCACTGCCTTCACCGCTACTTCAGCGGCACCAAAGCCAAGCTGTGTGCCATAATTCCTCTCGCGAATTCGCGTATACATATCGGATGCATGCTCGCAAAGTGAGATTACAATCGCTATTTCGTTCAGGCGCTTTAGAACCCTCGGCATTCGCGAAGAAGACGCTTCATTTTGCACAACGTTAACGTTTTCGGGACCCTCGGCCTCCGACATTATTCCTTGCCTCGACAACTTACAAGAAGGCGTTAGCTTCGCTCTGGCTTCGCAACCAACCCACCAACATACTTTGTTATTCCGTTAGTTATATTCAAAGGTGAAATTAAAATAATTAATTGTTTGAGAATGGCACAGATTTGCATTCTGAGCACGCGGAATACATTCGTGCAACTACGTCTTAACCACTCGGCTCAAAAGAACCTGCCAAGACGAACACGTAGTAATTAAGAGCATTGAAACCTGGGCGAACAGGCTTTCGTTTTTATGACATGAAGAAAAGCACTGGGGAGGATCGGAGGGGGGATGGTCTTCTTCTGAAAACTCCTAACCACAAATTAATATTTCTAGAACGGTTTTATCATGACTGTTTTTACTTTTCGATTGTGTATTTATATTCATGTTTTCCCACAGCTCAATCACTCCTGTGGAGGGTCCCGTTAGCGGTGGTGGTAGTGGGGTGTGGTGGGGGTTGATGGTGGCTTGAAAATGTGAAAAAAATAACTTTGGGAAAGTTACCCCAATAGTTCTCTAAGGGTGAAACCCAGGGCCCAGTTGTTCAAAGGCTGATTAGCGCTTAACCCGGGCTTAAATTTAGACCCAGGTTTTCGTTTTTCTTATGTTCAAAAGTATTTTCTCGGATAATTTTCTCTGTTATTTTTAGGGCTTCCAATCATCAGCCTGTAGACAAAATGAATTAAAATTGAAATGCTTTTTAAGCTTTCAAATCTGAATTCAAATCTCGCACTAACCCTGGGTTATCTTAACCCAGCTTTGAACAACTCGGCCCCTGAACAATTGCAAAAATTTCAGTGAGAGGAGCACGACGTCCCGGCCAAACACATAAACGGCGCATTTACAATTCATTCATTAAACCTGCCCTGGAATACGTACGTCGTCTTACTATTGCCACCTGGAATACACTTTAAGAATCTAGAAAAAACTTTCTCTGCCCAGGCGACGTGCAAATTACCTGAAAAAACGAGACTTGTTTAGGGATACACCATTAGAAATGTGAAGGGGGTGGGTGAGGGGGGAAAGACATTCTGAAGGAGTATGATATTTTTTTTCAAAAGCAGCCAGGATGCAAGATTTTTTTCAACCCTGAAAACCTTTTTTCTGGTTTCTTTGAATTATGCATTTTTTTCTTTTAATTTGGTTTGAAGGAATTTTTTCCTGTTTTTGGACTCCCCTCTTCACATTCCTAATGGTCCATCCCTTCTAGATCGAGTCTTTTTGCCCCATGGAATTAAATGAGGCAACTTTCAATTATATGCATTGTAATAGCAGATAACAAGTAATAAGAAGGGTTTGTTGTAAAAATGTAATTTATAATGGACAGATAAAAAATATCGACAGTTCTAAAGCGAAGCATCAATCAGGTACCTGACTTATCGGATTCTAAACCGTCGCAAATCATGAAAAACGATAGCAAAACATTTTTTTAGAACTTTTTCTTGAGTTTCACTGATGATGTCCCGTGTGTTTTCAATAAAGTTCTATTCAAAGACTACTTACTTACGCCGGGGTACGTTATTATCGATCCTTATTAAAATCTTCTGTAAAGAAAAATCGGGGCCGGATAATACATAGGGCTTCAACTTAGTTTATCGCATGCGGTTTAAATTGTAAAATTAAAAGGTCATTCCTGACTTGTCCACTGAAGTGGCAAGGGGGAAGGAGGTGCCCCACCCTTCCCGGGGAATGTAGCCCTCCTCTCCCTCTCCCCCTCAGTCTAGCTTGCCATTTATCAGTCGATCTTTCTATTCTCTTCTATTTTTCTCTTTTTGGACAATTGTTCGTTGGTTACAAATTCCATTTCCCAGGTTATACGGAGGGGCATCACCATGGTATAAAATTACCAATGGCATAGATACCAAACGAAATAAACAACTGCTGGTTTTCAGTGTCACGCCATTCAAAATAGATCAAAGTAAAAATCAAAACCTTTGTACTGATAAAGTCTAGAATCTGGGAAATGAAAGGTAAATATGCAAAGACCCTCGCCAAATAGATATTCGAAGAAACGTTTTACCCAAATTTATAGAGATTTGTATGAAGACGCCATGCTGGTGCTCATCCGGATGAGCACCAACATGGCGGACGGAAACCAACACACACATCTGTTACTGAGTTTTGCTACAAAAGCTTGAATTTATTCTTCGAAGAACTCATATACATTAAAGTTATACTTTTTCTAATACGTGAACTGTTTAGATAGGAAAATTCCCTTAAATAAGTCATTTTTTTAACCTACGTGACAGCAAATGACAGCTCTCTTGGCCGTCATGCAAATGCGGCGTCATGCAAAAGCTTAGAAATTCGAGGGCGTACTCTATCACAAACCAAGAAACCTTTTGAAGCGAAAATTTGTATGAAAATTATTTTCCAGCTGCTCTAATACATCGTGAAAGTAAAATCTCTGTAGGATCGATAGTTTGGTAGTTTGAATTTTAGTGACGTCATGTGACAGACCAGCAATAGAAATAATAAAAACAATAGCTACATAGTAATAAACCTGCAGTACTAATCTCACGCTTATTCGGCACTTATTCGAGGCTGGGCTTTTATTATCTTTCCAGTTTCTACCTTTAGGATGGGCGCCTATTCGAGGTGGGCGCTAATTCGAGGTTGGGCGTTTATTCGAATAGTATGGTATGTCCTCTCTAGGGACGATATATATTTTTTTCTTTCTTCTCTCTCTTTTCTTTCTGAATATCCCTTATGCACGATTACGTCAGACGAGTAAAATTTCACCACCAAGCCTTGTTTAAACCTTTGTGAACAGAATGTTTTGCATTTGCACTTTTTGTGGGTGGGTATGCTTGTCAACTCTATTGCCTTGGGAATTCATTTCTGTGAAACTTCGCTAATTTTTAATTCATAAAGAGGCTTTAGCTTGGTGGTGAAATTTCCTTGTGTGACGTAAACCCAGACGTAGTTAATCGATAAGCCGGCAATCGATATCAATCGATAGTAACAGGAGCTGGGCTCCTGATAGTAATCGATTTTGATTGATCGAAATAAATAAAGAAAAAAGTTGTGACCTCGACTAATATCGATGAGTTTCCGATAGAAATCGATAATGATTTTTTATCGATTAGTTTTTCTGTGACTTTAATTTCTATCGATTTCCGATATCAATCGATACAGTAATCGGCGGATTAAATCGATTAATATCGATGATATCGGTTGATTTCCGATTTCTATTTTTATCGATTAACTATGTCTGGCGTAAACATGCATAAGGGCTATCCGCTCAGCACCCTCGATCGATTCGGCCCAAAGGTCAAATGATCTTCCCCTTTGGTCATTACGTTTTTCCCGTCGTACTTTAATTAAAGCCATCATCTATTTGTGAATTGGCTTTGGGTTGGGGGAAAATTTTTCCAACACTTTCCGGCTTAAAAAAAATTGCAGAATAGCCGGCTTCCGTTCTTGATCCAATGTCGTAAATGTAAAAGCATCCCAAACACACCAGCGGAGTCCTCAGCGGAATACATCGGACAGACTAAACGAGCCTTAAGAGACAGATTTGGAGAACACCGCAGAGCTAAACAAAACAAACTTGACGACACAGTACCACAGCATTTAAATATCAACCCGGACACCAACTTAAAGACATCGAACTTATCTTACTCGAACTTATCAACACTAAAAGCCGGAATCCATACGTAGAGCCCGCGAACGTTTTTCCATTGAAAAGCCACAAACTATGCAGCCACGGGGGATAAACAGAGAGGACGACCGTTAAAAGATTTATGTACTTATTGCTTCATTATTATCATATTCTTTATTTCATTTTAATTTATTTTATTCTTATAATTCTTATGATTATTATTATATTTGTTTATATAATATTTTTCATTTCTAATATTTTCTTTTTTTCATCGTTTTATTATTATTTACTTTTTATTTTATTTTTTATATTTTTATTATTTATTTATTTTTAAATTTTTATTTAATTTAATTTTATTACTATTATTATCTTGTTATTATTATTATATATATTTTATTTTAATTATGTTATGTTTTTTTTGTTTCTTTTCATTTATTTATTTATTTTTTTCCAGTTACCATCTGAATCGTTTCTCATTTAGTTTTTTACGTTATCTTTGCATCAAATTTCCAACGTCTACTCGTCGTCTATAATATTTGAATTGTAACGACTTTCTGACCGCCGCTTGTCTGTCCGACTTGTATCGGGCAACCTCAAGTCGCTTTTCTCTTTGCTGTTTTGTTATTTATGTCTATATTTCCGTTTATTATATTATACGAAATTTAAGTTATCTGCAGTCTCAAACTTTCAATATTCAGAAAATATGCAAGACCACTAGGGGCACCCAACGACTGTTTACTGTAAAATATCTGTTCCGAGAAGCAAATATTACCTAGGATTTTGCAAAAAAATTTCAAGATGAACATTCCATTCATGTGCAATGTTCGAAGCTTATCTAATAAATTCCCTACAATTTTCTGAAGTTTAAGTTGTCATACTTTACCACCCAGATTACACTATTTTTCTTAGACAAAGGAAACCTAAAATTTTCGGGTTCTAAAATGTGACGGAGAGAGGAATTAGAAAAATATAATAATCACTTAATTCCCCCTGAATTTTCAAAAGATTCCCCTAGGAATGGATGACCGACAGATAAAATTTTTGTAGCGCCGCTTAGAATGCATTTCTAGAGATCTAAAAGTACTCTGATAGCCTAAAAGTGTTTTCAACGTATTTTGGAGGAACCGCTGTCCGAGGTCCAGGTGATAGCAAGAGCCATAATAGGACTATTATGGTTCTTGGTGATAGTCAACTGTATTTGACGTATTTACGTCTCAAAAGCAGTCCTTGGTGACTGCTCTATCGTTCTTCTCCATCGTCTGCTGTTTAATTTGTCTCTATCTTTGTTTTTGTAAATTCATACGTACTAGTATTCCACTTTTGTATACATTTCTGGACCTTGTCATCTGGGAAATAAAGAACCGGCCAAAGATCAATCTCTATTCATAGATTTTTCCTGTTCATGGAATTTCACCTTGGACGACCTTTAATGAATTTTGTCACGCAAAATGTTTTGTAGCGTTATTACATGATCCACACACGATACGACGTTCCTTTTCCATCATTATTATATTTTAAATGAAAGATCACCGCTGCATTGTGAAGTTAAAAGATTTGTAATAGCAGTTTTGGAGATTTCGAAAGAGGAATAAAAGGGAGCATTACCTGCGGTCACGTGGATATGAACTTTGTCCAACAAACACGCTGGAAGGCCCAGATTACATCATTATGCAATAGATATTACCGCATCTCTGATTGGACAGATATGCGAGCGATTTCAAACGATTTTCTAACGGCTGTTGTGATAGGATGCTTACCCGATGACCAAAGTCCGACTGTCTTCGCAATAAAAATTGCTCTCTGAACGGTACGAGCTATTCGTCGTTCGGTTGTATTTGGTTGTATACTACTTCTGGTTTGGTGAGAGTAGATCTAAACGTCGTTCGAAGATATGACTTCTGAAATGGAGATGACGCAGGAAGCAGAGAACAAGTCGTTTGCGACCCGTGTGTGGGAACTTCCAGTGGCGATGGCCGCCGTCGAACAGCTTTCTCAAATCTACAGTTCGGTGAAGGAACGGAATGCAGTGACAAGGATGGCTTGTAATGCGGGTGAAAGTACGATCCAAATGGCCACAGCTGCTACAAAGCCTATTATCGACGCAGCAAATAATTGTTCGTTGTCGAAACCCATTGTTGGAAAAGTCGAATGTGCTGGTACGTGAAGGAAAAACGCCCGTTTTTTTTCTACTGTAAGCTTAAACTTGTCCATCGAATCATTGATCATGTACCTTTATAGCTTACGTAAGGGACCCTTGTTGGCTATCCTCTTCGCGTTTCAAGTCCTTGTTAGACTCTTCTGTAGTTTGTCCTAATTTTCGTTTTCATTTAACTTATTTATGAAAATCAGCACACTAGCGATAAAACTCAAAATGAAGCATAAACTTGGTCACGTCTTGACAGCCCCATTTCAGGTTGCTGTCCACTTAATTAGTGAACCTTGAACTTCCTATTAATCCCTCTCAATCTCAAAGACATAAAACAATGAATAGGTTTTTTCATGAATCACTTGAATCAGTCAGTCATTGTGATCATTTTAAGGGGATTTACCCTATCAAAAGTATTTATAGCTTAGAGTGAGAACCATTTTCATTACAGCTGCTACCATTGACCGTGTGGCTTCAGAGACGCTGGCTAAGGTTGAAGAGAAGTGTCCCATTATTACGAAGACACCCACTGAGGTAAAAGTTGTATGTATTTAATACCTCCCCTGTCCAGTTATGTCATTAATGATTCTCTTCTTATGGTAACCTCTCTGGACACCTCTCTATTACAGAAAGTTTTCTTGGTTTTAAACTTGCCAAATTCAAATAATTCCTACCTTTTCAACATTGGACACTTCCTCCATAATGTGGACACTTGAGTCTGTCCCTGTCCACGCAAGGAAGTTTAGCCATTTATACTTGTGTTTTAGTCAATCAGAATACTTGAAGCAAAGTTGATGCGTTAAATTGTCTGAAACTGTCCATGGCAATCTAATGGTATACCAGTTCTAATATTATTGGTTTTCTTCATGCTTGGTATTGTATATACAAGGATCAATACTTAGTTGGAAATTTCTTATATTGTTATGGAGCCAGAAGATGTGCACTGCACCAAAAGATCCTAATTTGAAATGGGTGCTCATTTTATTTTATTTTTTTTGACGTGGATGCTTGTTCTTTTGTTGGCTTTATTATAGCTTGCATTAAATTTGGGAGAAGTTTATTCCAAAAGAGGGAAGAGACAAGGTTGAAAATGGTGCAAAGGCCTGCATTGGTTTCACAAAAGTACATGTCATTTTGGGCCATACTTGACCTTGTGAACACTTGCTGGATTTTTGTCTTGCCTCTTTAGATCAAGACTGCTGTAACCGGTACTGCCTCAGATTACTATTCCAAACTGCAAGACAGTGCTGCTGTGAAGATGATGGTTGCTAGGACAGGAGATGTGCTGTCAACCTTTGAGTTGATTGGTGAATTAACTCTGCCTACTGATGGCAAATGTGAAGAGGACATGAAGGAGCTGGAAACAGATGATGCCGATCATGAGAAAGGACAGTTGGTGAGAGCCCGGAATCTGCACAAAAAGTTGGCACGCAGGGGAAAGAGAAAGCTGATGTCGTACCAGCCCATTAAGTTCACAGTTAAGACGGTATGCTGTAGCTCTGGATTAGATTTGAAACAAATAGTATTGAATAACATCCAGTCAGAACCTGTCTCGGAAATTTCTTCCAGATCACTATTAAAGTGATATAAAGTGAGTTAAAAACAGAAAATGGTGGCAAAAGAAGTTACTACTAGTGAGTTTCATCTAAAATTCAATGAAAAAAGGTTGACCCAAATTTTAAAATATCGTATTTTTTAACATAGCTGTCTATGACCAAATGTACTATTTATGAGAAGTTCCTCATACCAGAACAACCATTTCAAGTATATTTGGTGATTTCTTTTCACTTAAATATTATTGTAGTAAGGTAGATAAAACTTTTCATCACAGTGCCTTCATCATATTTACAATTAGTCACTATCTACTTTTTCACAGTAAAGTTGAAACTGTTTCTCTTTTCTTGTAGATGAGCAACTTGCAGGATAAGGTAACAGACTTGGTCGGCAAGTCATCAGGAGCAGGGAAAAAAGTCTACAATGCAACCATGTACATCCCTAGCATGGCACTTGAGCTATCTGGAAATGTCGTTGTTTCGGCCAAAGATTTTGTTTTCGCACTTCACAAGGTACTTTAATTTTGGACTGGCGGCATGATTAATATTAGTACAGTGATAATATATTTGCAGGACCAGCATAACACTAAAAATGTTCTTAAGGTGCAGTCATGTAATTCAAAGTTTTTATTTTTATCTTTTCAAAATGCATGATTCTACCTCCCAGTGTGATGTTTTCTTTCATCATTGGTTTTATTTTAAATGAAAGACTTGTGTTCGCGGCGCGCAATGCATCAAGGTTGGGAATGTGCCTTTAAGGAAATAGTCAGGAAAGATGAATCTGTTTGATACCCTGTACTTCAGCAAGCTCTTCCCACTGCTTCTATAGGAAACCTATAGGGACAGCAAATTAGAATTTGAATTTTGATATTATGGTTTAAGGGTTAATGAAAGTAAATATTGGTTTGATCTTAGGCTCATCCCATCAAGGACATGCCTGCTACAATTGCCAACTGTGTGATGAAAGCTGTTCAACCACTCTCTGATGCAAAAGACAAACTTGTCGGCCATGTGTTTGTCCCACCCCAAGTAATGACCGAATACCTCCTTTCATCTCGCCCCATTCAGTGGATAATTCCTCACATTGTCGCCGTTGAAGACATTAACAAAATGGATATCACCATGGAAGAAATCGAAGACACGACAGAGTCAGAGGGAAACGAGAATGGAAAAGACTCGTAAATTCTTACTTAAAGTTCACTTCTTATTAACTTAAAATATTGAGAGTTCCAACACACCACACATTTACATGTATTTGTCTATTCCAAAAAAATTAAAATGACGAAATCAGTAATAACATTACTTTGAATTATTACTTAATAAGTTTATTTTTGGCCAGGTAGATGTTTATAGTTTAAGATAGTTTCAACTAAAACTGCTTTTAACTTTAATATTGCTTTTGTAAGTAGTTGTTGTCGATGCATTCAATAACTTGTTTTATTATATAGACGCGAGTGTGTTACTGGAAAATATACCACTTGTAAAATTCATAAAAACGACATCCGGGAACCCGAGTGGTTTATTTTTCATAATCTCACACGTGAGTTTATCGATGACGTAATTTCGGTAATTTCCCTCTATTATTTTATCAGTCTTTTTGTCTATATAATAAAAAGAACATTACACGGTGGCTTGAAGATATGAATTTTATTTTCTAGTGGCAAAATCAATATTTTACTCGCTGCGCTCATTCGTAAAATATTGTTTTGCCACTCGAAAATAAAATTCACATCTTCGCACCACCGTGTAACATCCTCTATGTAATTGCTGTTGGAAACATTTTATCAATTTTTTGTTGATTGAAAAAGTAAGCAAATCCAAGAACTTGCAAAATGTATTTTATTGACATTTCTTGAAACAGTTCTCGACAATAAATGTCATTAAAATCAATTTCTACCTTACGATTTTCTTTTGTTTAATTTGAACAGGTAGTTAAAAAAAGAATGTTAACCTTTATTGTTTTAATCAAAGTTTTCAAACTGGCATGTTACAGTAAATAAAGTTATTGTTTCAACTAATTTATAGAAACACATTAAAATCAAGATGATGACAACCTTAAAAATAAAGGGTTTCGTTCATTGTGTCTCACGATTGTCACTAAGATATTGATCATGACGATTTGACCTTGAGACACATTATCCACGATGAACAATATCTTTCATGACATTAACCTTAACAACAGTGTTGGAGAGAGATTATGTTAAAGCTTGAGTTATACGAGTTGTAAGAGGGGGTATTGCGTAGTGAACATATTGAAAACAGAGTTATTGTCCCACCCCAGTGACATGTTGATAAACACATAATAAAAATATAATTCACCATCTTTCTTTGTTTCGGTTCAATTCTCTCTTATTGTTTCCGCTTGTCACCCTGACAGGCTGGTTTGTGCCAGTTTGGAGGCTATGGAGTGTTAAAGCATTCTTACCGCAACACTGTTTTCACTAGGTCTTAGTATTATACTTCTCTACTTCTGAGAGGAAATGCAAGGTGTGTTCAATCAGGAAAACTGGATTAAGATTTTGTTTCATATTTTGCATTAAACAGATTTCCCATAGAAATGGAAATAGAGGAAATCCAAGGATGGATTTTTCATCATTAAAGATACGGTTTTGGATCATTTCAAAATCTAAATCCTTGGTTCAATTTCTCTTCTTCACCATAAACTCCGTAGCCTAGGCTAGGTTATGCATGAGAACGTGTTTGGAATTGTGAAACAAAGGAAAAAGGAAATTGTAGGAAAGAAATAGTCAGTTTCGAATTACGAAATTCATATTTAGCTAGGAGGCTGTGTGTTGTGAGGCAAAGAAAAGTGGACCAAATAGCTATTGGACTTGGGGCTAAGTAAAAATTTTAATAATTCGTGTTGAATCCCCACCCGGGGTGGGGGTGAGGGATTAGCCTTGGTTACTATCCTCGAAAAACGTCCCCGCTGCGGGGTTACTTCCTAAGAAGAGGGTTATGGGGATGTGCCGCTGTATGGGGTCTCATTTTCTCGACTTGATTGACTATAACGGGGCCGCATTTTCAATAGAGTTACTAGAATGAGGTCGCACATTTTCGGATTTTTGGGGGTAAGACAGTTCTTCATATTTACAGTTAGCAAACGTAGCAGAATGTCTGTACTGTAGGTGTAGGTGAAAATGGGTCACTGACCTATTTAAAGGGTCGATAAGGTGGATACATATATAGAAAGTGACTAAGTTGGGATCGCGAAAATTACATATTTGCCCAAAAGTGACTAAGATGGGGTCTATAATTGGCCACAGAATAGACTATACTGAGAGGCCAGAGGCACATACCCAGCAAAAATTAACCCAAGTACCCCCCGGAAAAACTAACACAACTTCTCTTTTTTTCCGCTTTGTTAAGAAACGATGAGAACAGCAAGTGAATGTAACGAAAGTTAGTTTTTTAAAGATCAAAGATGCCCTTCAAGTCAGTTACATCAACACGATACCAAAGATGATAGAATAAGGGAAAGTTCATTTAATATGACAAGGGGGGTTGAAGATATTGAGGGGGGGCTCCGAAAATTTTTAGACACCCGAAGGGGGGCTCTGAAAAAAAATTGTTGCGCTAGGAGGGGGGCTCCGAAAATTTGTATACTTCAAAACCAACACATGACATCATACAGATCGGATGGTTTTCAACTCAACAATTTAATGACCTGTGCAACTCAGCTATATCACGTGGTTTACAGATATAACAAATGTAGTCTCAGTAATTATTACACTCTTGTTCATCCCAAAAATGCTTTAGAAAATTGTATCACAACTGTATCTCAAGTTTGTCATAGTATAAACCATTGAAGACAATAACGGTAAATATATTTAATACAGTCTAGCGATCTTTTTTCAGGGGAGCAAAGGAATTGAAGGAGGGGGGGGGGGGGGGCTCTGAAAATTTTTCGACTACCAAGGAGGGGGCTCCTAAAAAAATGAACCGCTAGCGAGGGGGGCTGCTAAAATTTCAAGCTTCGAGTTTCAATATCTTCATCCCCCCCTTGTCATATTAAATGAACTTTCCCTAACCACCGTGTTACAGTGATTTTGTTACCTCTGCGTCCTGCTTCCTTGACGCATAAAAAGCGCAAAAGACGCAAAACAATTCATTACATGTGTCTCGTGGGGGACGCAAAGATTGTTTGATCGACCTGAAGATGCTTTTGTAGAATATTCTGTTCGTGTGATTTCAGTGGCTGTTCTTGCGGCTGTTGTTTAATGAGGTATATTTCTTTTTCTTTGTTGTGCTTTACGACAAAAGGAGATTTTTATTCCAGTAAACTGTAATACAGAATTTTTGAGTCTGTCTTCAGATTAATTGTCTGCATGGTTACATAAACTGATAAGGCCCCGAGCGGTCGTCCTTTGTTCCTCAGAGCCACGCGTAGCTGAGTATCAGGCGTTTCTGGGGGAAAGGGGGAAAGATGGAAGCGAAAAAGGGAGAGAGCTGAAGGAGAGAAACTTCCTTTCTCTTCTTCCCCCTCCCCTATCTAAAATCTCCTCTCCTCTTAAAAATTATGCAAATTACTGGCAAAAAAGGAAATTAATTATCGCGTTATCACATTTTACCGTGACGCAAAAGAAAAACAAGAGACTGCTCGCAGTCTAATAAAGGCCCCAAGAAATTCAGTTTAGGACTCATTGGTTTTTGAACTGGGACTCAATGGTTCGAGACTAGGACTCACGATTTTTCACAAGATGAGTCCCAGGACTCAGCATAACTATTTGTAACAAAATCACTGGTGTTACTGAAAGCGTGGCACTGATTGCTAGTGTGCTGCTTCTTTTAGGTAGGTACACTTCAAGTTGGTGACAATGTTGCATTGTTTTGCAATATACCATAAAAATCCAAAAATAAGCCTCTCCAAGAATATAAGCCCCCAAGCGGGTAACTCCAAATACCCTCTGTTAAATCGCCCCTCCAAATATAAGCCCCCCAGGTGCTTGTACTTGGAAAATTGCCCTCAAATGCAAAGTAAAACAAAGCAGAAACGGTAAATTTACTTCCAACTATAAGGCTAGCCCAATCGGTTTTGAAATGCAAATTTCCCTCCGCAGATAAGCCCCTTCGAATATACCCCCTCCAAAAATCAGCCCCTCAAAAAGGGCCTTTGAAAAATATAAACCCCTGGGCTTATTTTGGAATTTTACGGTAGCTGAGTAAACAGTTCCCTCCTTGTGCAAACCTTTGCACTTGTCATGCATAGGCAGGCATACTCTGTCAGCTGATTCTGGAAATAATATGCAAACATTTTAAAAATGGCATCATCAACAAAGAAGACAAAAAACTTATTTGAAAGGTTGTGTTTCAGTCTACTCCTAAAGGCCACAGTTTATCTTCTAGAGTACACAGTCTGCAAACCACTGTAAAAGCTTCATAGTCTGTTGGTTCACTTTCAGATCCACTAAGTTTCATTGCCATAAGTCTCGCAGTAATAGGGCTCAGTGCATTTCAAGATCCACATTGGCAGATGGATACTGTGGATAGAACTTAATCATAAAATTCTTTAAATCTTTCTTTCTTATCAAGATCAAGTTATTCAATTTTATTGGCAGTGTATTAATTTACTCTTTTTAGCCTGCAGAGCTGGTGAAGCAGGAAAGCGCTGTTAAGTAGTTTTTTGGCAACTGGTGGAGATGCAAGAAGATTGGGAGCAAGTCAAATTGTTTACTCATGGGGTTCCACATTCAAGAAAATCCATCATGGCTTTGACGCTCATTTACGTGACGGCCACGCTTTCAAGAAAGTACTCAGGACATAGCAATCCTCTCAGCTACGCAGACTGCAGACTAACTCCATTAGTCAATAATAATTATTATATATTAATTTATCTAATTTTTGAGCAAGTCACAATGTATTATAGCTTGTCCTTTCCAATACTGAGCGTGGCTATAAAGCCTTTCATGGGGCCTTCTTACCATACTTTAGTTCTTGAGTTGCTGTCATTAGTTTGTGCAATGAAGCATCTGAGCGCCACCGTAATATAGGTAGAAGGTCACGTCTGACCATTAAAGTCAACATGAAGTGAAACTGGGCAAGAAAAAACTCATTTGCGAGATCCAAGACTTGAAACAATGCACCGTCTTCTTTCGTAGGCAGACGCTGTGGGATTCCTCCTTCAAAAATTAAGTGACTCAAAAGCTGAATACCAAGGCATAAAGCAATAACAAAGAAGGCTTGGAATGTTGTTGTTCCAGTGTACACTATTAATACATAGTAAGCCATAGTACCGTACAAAATGGTGTAGGCAAACTGTAAAAGATGAAAAGATGGAAAGGTATGATTCAATAAAGAATGAGCAGAGTCTATTTCATACAAAGTTTTATTGGTTAAGGTACAGAATACCGTCAAACCTTCACTAATGGCCACCTCTCAGCAATGGCCATCTCGCTACAACGGTCACTAATTTTTGTCCCAGCGGACAGTCCATACATTTGCTCTTATTTAAACCTCTCTATAATGGCCACCTCAGCCCACAATGGCCAACCGCCACTAAAGGGACTGTCCCCAACTCCCAAAATAATGTTGTACTGGACCACGTTCCAAAAACAGAATATTATAAGGGGTCTTTCTCATACAGAGGAGGAATGCTGTGGAATTCATTACCAAATGACATAAAAGCGTCCGAATCTAAAGCTATCTTTAAAAGAAAACTGGCTAGAAGGCAGGCAAACTGTTGACTACATTTTACTATATTTTATTATTTGTACATATTTTTAGTGTAGTTGTACAGTATTTACTTCTGTTTCTATACGGCTTTCATGTAAAGAAGTTATGTAACTTATGAAATTCCCGTATTCAAATAAAAGTGAATCAATCAATCAATCAAAATAACCTCTCAACAGCAGCAGGTTTTTTAAGCGACTGATGAAAAAGTCAAGAATGGTCATGAAATGTGACCCGTATTGCGCATTGATGATCTAAGATTGTGGCAATTGTATACGTACTTTGATTGTGTTCCATTTATGCTGCTACAGTAAGTATAAATCGTCTAAGATACTTATAGTGAATGTTGTGAACCTTGCTTGTTTTGTCATGTTGACATTTTTGATTCAAAACATTCTTCAAGTTTTTTGTGTACTTTATCTCTTATATATACACCTATTTCAATCAAAATTGCTTCTGAGAAGAATGATGCATGATCCATGTTTCATAATTCAAGGCGTTTGTTGAACAGCAATAAGTAAATTAACATTACGTGTTTATCTATTTTTGAGGCAATTTTTTAAAACTGAATGAAAAGAAAAAAACGCGTTGATTGCTTTATAATTGAAATAACCAACATTCTGGCCCATGTAAAAACACAGCTTAATCAGGCAATAAAACCCTATTCATTTAATGATGTTAAAAAAAGAGGCTTCTAATTTTTTACTATGAGATTTTAAAAATGAAATTTTTCAGCTCGCTCATGCTTAAGAAATTTAGCAGCCATTTGACTTGAAAGCTCTCTTGAATGCCTTTTCACAAATGGTCTCCATTATTTTAATGAACATGAACAAGACTAAACTTCCCACTACAAAAGGGTTTACCATAGTGCACCGCAGGCTATGAAACATGTTTCACGGGAGCAACCTTAATTGAAATAGGTGTATTTCTGAATGCCTGGAACAGCCTACAGGACACCTGGGTACTAGTAAGATTAACATAATCTTTGCCTGTCCTCAAAAAGGACCCCACTTACCCCAATGGGTGGCTCTTGTACAATACAGAGAAGGCACTTCAACAAAATCAACAGTAGCTGCAGTGAGAGGGGTAAAAAGTTTCGGCCAATGCAGAGCGTTGCCCATGCTATTGGCCATGATGTCGCAACATGAGTGGCAACATTCCTAATAGAAAAAAATCAAAAAATCAATAATTAAATAATATTTATTGCTCCGATCAGCTTAACTTCTGGCTACCCTGGATATTAAGATACCTCTTTGGATGTCAGATCCTATTAACATCCATATGGGAGGTGATGGCCATATACCAAAATAATCCTTTGGGGATTGAAATCTTTTCATAACCAAAAACGTTCTTTCACTCCAAGAAATTTTCATATGACCAAGTTATTAATTCTAGGAGGAAGCATCACCGTGAATACTTTCTAAAATGGTATCCCAAGGCTGTCACTAAGGACTTCGAGCTGGGGATTTCCACCTGCTACCATAAGCATGACCATCACAGGCCCTACTTTCACTCTCCACTTTCAGAATTCCAACAATACACTCTGCATGCCCCCCAAATTTTGCATAAACTACTGTTTTCAAATGCTCCTGGGCTGGAGGACTGCATATTAGGACATTTTATTCGAAACCCCTGATGGAAGTCATGATTTGATAGGCTTGTGATTCCTACAGGTCCCTTATCTCGCCACAAGGTATGGAGGGCAGGGTACTGACAGGCCCTCATCACTTTTATTGTGATTCCTACAAGTCCCAGATCTCCCAATTCCCACAGGCCTCGTAGTAATGCAAGAATCCAACACCTAATTCGGAGACCCTTTATTGTAGTCAAAATGTCAGATTCCAACAGGGTTCTTCTGGATATTATTTAATTATTCCTTCCATGGGGTTGGGGGGGGAGGGGGGGGTGGCGGATAAGAAAATGGAATGTGCCATTCCTAAGAGCATTTGAAAACAATAATTAACTTACATGTATGCACAATTTTGGGGGCAAAGGGAGTGTCTATGGGAGAGATCCGAAAACAGCCAATAGGAAACTAGAAAAGAAAATGCAACCAAAAGAACTTCCTGGCTGTTCGAAAACAAATCGCAATCAACTTTTCCAATACTATGCTACAGCTATTTACATGTATGGTTTATGTAGACGAACGCTGATCAGAACTAAAGACGGCGATGAGAGGCTCTTGAATACTTACCAGAACTTTTTGTGCGTAAAACGCTTGACAGCGGTTTGCATGGAGCTGTCAATAAAGTAAGAAAACCCCAGATTCAAAGACATCTTGGTGAGGAATGATGATCGCCACCAACAATTCTGAAAATATTACACGCAAGTCAAGTCGGGTTGTGACGAAAAGTCACGCAATATTCGCCACTAAAATTGATCACGCCTCTCTAAACAGCATTTTCTGCCAACTTTCGGCAGCACAGTCCACTAACTGAGACTCGAAAGTCATAACTTAGACAGAGAATTTTACGAAATTTGGAAGAATGTTGGGCGCCAGAATAAAGGAAACAGAGGGCTTTTGTTCGCCCCAGTCTTCCTTGATGAGTGGTCACCAAGCCATTCAAAGGGAAGAATGTTCGGCCGACTCTCCAGTTTGTAGAGGAAAGTCCCCTCTGGTCAAGATTGTAAACAGGTATGCAAGAGGCTTTCATCGATACGAATACTGTTTTCCATTTGTTTCCTTTTTCTAAATAAAGGTTGTTTCAAGAGCGGGAGTTTCTCGAAGTTTAGAGCACTAGACTCAACCGATCAATAAAGCTTACTTCTGTTGTTATATTTTTTTGGTAAGCTTTATTGAGCGTTTCTTGATAAGACACGAATCGCGTCAAGTCTAATTGCGACTCAATCGAACTACTTCAAATAAGCTTACTTTACTCTTACGTCTTTTGGTTATTCTGGCCAAAAAAAAAATGGAAATATAACTCAAATTCAGTTTTTTAATAATTTGATTCGGCCATTTGCACGATGGCGTCATTTTAGTACTAAGACCAGAATCCTTTTTGTTATTCCTTTCTTATTTTGAGGGAGGTTTAAAGAAAGAAGAAAGCAAAACCCTGGAGGATTGGGCTATTGCATTTAATATTCGTACCCCCCCCCCGGTTGAGGACTGACTTTTTCTCCTTACCCCTGAAATTGCATTCACCCCAAAAGACTTCCATAAAATCATAGCTTAAACTTTAATTTTTGTATTCTCCATTTCTCAATTATTGGTAGGAGAATTTTGTCTACTGGATTTTCCTTTTTTGGGGAGGTTACAGATGTACTAGATGTACTCACAAGACAACCTGGCCTCAGATATTCAAAGGATGATGGACAAAACATTGACCCCAGCCAGTCTGAACTACCGCAATGGAATACCCATATCAGAGTTGATATTAGGGGTGGGGGGTAATTCAAAAAGGGAGTCTCCAGATTTTGAATCTCCAGTGGTTGCCATCTCTGCAAATGATGGATAGGGCTATTCATATGATAAATCTCCAGTGCAAAGGAATTGGTTTTCCAACTCTCCCAGATGTGCCACAAATCTCCTAGTCTCCCATATCCTTTGGTCTCTAAAAATCCAGTGTAAGGATTAAATAGACTTTTCAGTTGTGCTTAAGTTTAGAATGTAGACCAAATTCTCCCCAACATTAAAAAATGTTTCAGTTTTTAAAGTTCATATAATTATGGTTTTGTTGCAAAATGTCAGTTGTTTCCTAACTGGTTAGGTTTGCAATAGTTAAATTCAGGGGACTATGATAAAACTATCAGTTGAAAATACAAAGTGGACTAGTTTGTTAGCTAGGACCTGGCTTCTTTAGTTTGAAGTTTGAATATTATTTATTTGGGCCCACAAGTTACTGGGACTTTTGAGAAACAGGTCGCTGGACCTTAAATTTGCTTGTATTTTTCTTAGGTCAACTGGTCCATCAGAATGCACCAGAGATTATGTGTTTTGTGAAGTTCAACCTTGATGACAAAGCAGCAGTTCAAGTGGCATATCAAATGAAGGGCAACAGGCTTTGGTTGAAGTTCACATGACATGTTAAGACCTTAGCCACACTCGACAGAAAATTTTAAACACAGCTGAATGACAGAGGATCCTCTCACAATTATTCCAGCTGATATGAGTGAGTTATCAAGCACTTCAGTTGATGGATCTGGACATTTGTACAACAGAGATAAAATTGCCAAAGCAAGTGTAAGCATAAATGATGGTGAGACATCACCAGTCTTGAGTGTACGGCAGTTTTATCTAAATGGCAATAATATAATCATTTTTTCGGACTTATGCCAAGTGGTTTTAAAGACTTGGGGGTCATACAACAATTTATATAACTTGTTGAAAAAACATGGAATTGGGACATGCCGATTTGATCACTTCCAGCTTAGGTGGCTGAAGAATTCTGGATTTGTTAATCTCCAAGTTAAAAATTGTTCATTTATTATCCAGAAAGATTTCTATCAAATTCTTCACAAATATGATGAGGAGAACAACACTGATCGTGCAAAAAGAATTCAGCTTTCAAGTCCAATTACAATGAATAATCTTACCAATACAAACCCACAGTCTCAGGGTGGGAAAAAGTATGGTAACAATGATATTTTGGCTGTTGGTAGAAAGACCTCAAGTCAAAGCTCTGGATCTTCAGTTCATAACACATACACATATTTTTCTACTGATGGAGATCAAGATTTTGTAACCTTGTCTGAAGCTTATAGATTATTTGAAACCAAGTTCAGAAGGCCAGACCTTTTAAACCTAGTGTTACACAATCTAAAGATAGATGTATGTAAGTTAACAGCAAATGAAATGGCAAGAGTTGATACTAATGCTGGAGTCATCTGTAATGATGACACTTTAAGAGAACTCTATATAACTAGAGAAGATTTTGAGCAAGTCTTACAATACCCCTCAGCTTTGCTTGATACAAGTCCAACCACTGTTTCATCTGGTCATTTGGAGGCATTAAGTACTTCTATGGCCAAGAAAGGGAACAACACAGAAGCACACAACTCAGCTGGATTAGTTTCTAATTCCTCTTCAACAACCTCTGAAACACCTGTGTTATCTGACACTGGAAACTTCTTAGAATCAGGAATAGCAAAGGAAAGCAGCAGTGCCACTAGCTGTGTAATTAGAACTTGCCTGGTGGGGGGTGAAGTTGTTGTGTGTGTTCCTGATCTGCGCAAAGTCGTTATTGATCTGTATGGTCAAAGCGTCCAAGTTGGCAGCTTAATGCATCGGCTTGGAATTCCAACACACCGTTTCTCAAGCATGATCTTGAAGCATCTCAAAGGTCACAACATCTTGAGTTCAAGAGCAACCCTTTGTACTTACATCACAAAGGCAGATGCTGAAAGACTGCTCAAGATGTACCACATGTGTAATCGTTCCGAGAACCAAAGCGAAGATCCTCCAAGAATTGAGTGGAGTGAGCCGATCATTCTTGCAAATGACTTCAATGCAACCCGTGGAGACCACCTAGCATCACCACAGAAGCAGCAGTGTGTTCAAGCTGAATTAAAGGTTCCCTTGTTTATCATAAACCAGCAAGTGGTTGTTGCTATGCCAGATGTTCATAGAGCTGTTCAATTGCTGAATGGTAACAGTGTGCAGTTACGTTACAATCTTGACAAGCTAGGAATCATCAAACACAAATACTCCTACTCTGATGTACTTCATCTGAAAGTTTTAGGTCACATTAACAGGCCAAGTGTGTGCACATACATCACTAGAGCAGACTTTGATGTCCTTCTACAGTTTTACACAACTTCTGCGAATGAATACAAATTGAAGTTAATTGAATTACAGGAGCCAGTAGTGGTAGAGAGAATGGAGAGCAATAATTATTCTGACAGCACTTTTAGTTCTGGGGCTGGTGAAGAAGTTGAAGATGAGGATGAAACTAATAAGGATCAGGTTGATGAATATTCCATATCTGATCTTTACAAAGTATTTGTGGGTGATGACCTAGATTCCACTCAGAGCAGCCAAAATAATACTGATGATAATCTACAAGAGCAAATTTCTCAGTGCAAGTCACTACCAACAAGTGTCAGCATCTTGCCTTCTTCACAACTCAATATTGTTAATCCTGACTCGGATAATGAAGCTGTCAGTGATGAATGCCAAGAAAGTACAACGACTTACAAAATAGTTTCCCCAAGTCTTTCAGATGCTGGCTCATTTTCCATATCAGAGCTGGTCACTCATCCCAGTACAACTGTTTCAAGCCATGTATCTTCTGTGTCACCTCAGCCTAGTGGGACACCTGATGGAGGTCATGTCTGTGTCAAAGCAGTGGAAGGTGAAGAACACAGCAAAAATATTAGCCCTCCAGCGACAAGTGTCTTTCTTGTTGGGATCAGACCCACTGTTGAAAGTCCAAAGGTTGTGTCCAAGGAGACCCATACTGTTACTGGAACCCATGTTGTTCATCCTTCACCTTCTCTTGGCACAATTCTTCCCGCTTCCGGTTTGCGTGATGCACACTTCGGTGTCATCACAGAGCGTGTTCCATCCATTCCAACAGATTATAACATCCATTCAACATGTGCCACAACTTCTAGCAGATATGGGGTGATGCCTTCAGTTGGTTTGAGTCCTACAAGCTGTGGTAAGATATTAGTCTGTGTGTAATCTTGACTTGGTTGTTTGATATCATTCTTGATCCTTAAAATCTACTTCTTTGGTAAACACCCAGGGAAACAACAATATACATTAGGCAAGAGCCTAGTCTCCTACACAGCCATTTGTTGTGTTGTCACGCAACACCCCTCCCCAAGAATCATTCCAAGAGGCATTGGGTGACAATAAAAAAAGGCTGCTTGGGAGACTAGCAAGAGCCAAGTGAGGTTCCACTTAAGCAAACTAGCAATCAGCTCTATATCATGATCAGTGTGCAAGCACTGAACTAAACCTGCATGCCCTTACTCCTTTAAGAGAGTTAATGCACATTTATGAAATACCAGAAAGCCAAAATTGGTCATGAATGGACGGTATTCATGCTGCTTCTTTGAACAAGTGCCTTGCAATTTGCCAGTCATAAGTGGAAACAACAAGGTAGACAAGCACCAATTCATTTTTGTATCATAGGTTATTGATCATGTCAAAATAATTTCCTTTTTATGGAATCAGTGATTTTACTGCCCAAGCAGACCTACCATAGGAGAAAATGTTACAAGCTTGGGTGTAAGCATCTAATTTTTCCTGAAAAATATTAACACCTTGTCATCAGAGGTAGTGAGGGAAAAGGAAGTTATTATTTTTCCAATGACTTTTTTTAACAGGTCACTGTCATCAAAGCAGCAAAAGACCAACTGAAGATTTAGTGAGTCATCCAAGAGTGTTTGAACAACCAGCCAAAAAATGTAGAGGTATATTTTGCGTGGGTTGTTTTCATTGTTAACATATTTAAAATCAATGTGTTGGGCCTATTAGCCCCTGATATGTACCCTGCAGACTGGATACAATACATTATTATTTTGATCTTCACAAGTCTCTGATTTCCTTTATTTCAGTGAGTCATGAAGATTTATTAAAGACCCTTCAGCGTAAAGAAACTGAAATGAAAATTTTACATGGTGAGAGAAGTAGTTTTCATGAATTGCTGCTACAGTTGATCCTTCATTAAGCTCCTTTTATGAAGTGCATGGCCACCCTCTATTAATGAGTGGACAGTAATAATATTGTCACAAAGACTAAATCATTGTAAATGAAACCTCTATTGAGTGGCCACTTCCATCAAGTGCCCGTGCCACATTTTGGCCATCCTGACAAGAGTTCTCTTGTCACCTCTAACAAGGGGCCAACCATTTGACTTTTGAAGCGGGGGGGGGGGGGTCATGGTATGGGCGATTTCAGAAAAAAATATCCTGTAGACTGATTGCAAGTCTTGCAGGGAAATAGCTGGGGAAAAATTATCTTGCACTGAAAAAATATCCCTCATAGCATATAGCAACAGGGTTTGTACATATCTTTGGATCCAAAATTCAAGACTTTTCCATACTTTCTTCCAAAACAACAATTTCTTTTTCCAGACTCAAGGTTATCAATAGAGACCTTAAAAAATGCCGGAACAAAGCTTTTTTCATGATGCACTGCAAACAGCCAAGATTGAATAAGATATCCAAAACTAAAAAAATATCACTTCTAAAGCACTTGTTGTAGCTTTGAAAAGTTAGTGCTGTAACAGTGGTGATGATAGTGATAATGCTGGTGATGATGACAGTTCAGTTCAGTTTATTCACACCTGTATATAATATTGACACTGTATATAGTAACAAGGAATAAAAAAAAACAAATAAGAGAAAAAAAGAAAAGAAAGACATTAATGGCTTTGGTAGAAGTGTATGGTGGTCAGAGGAGCTTAGCTTTCGAGCTAGCCACTGCTGACAACTATGGTAACAGTCATAGTAACAGTGGTGATGATAGTGTTGAAAATGAAGTGATGTTAATGATTATTGCAATGAAAAAATTGAGGATGGTGTTGTTGAGGATGAAATCTGTCTTAAATTAACATGGAGTCACATGTTGAAAAAAAAACTTTGTATTGACTTGCATTTAGATGCATATCAAGGGCAAATAAAACAGGAAAGAGAAAACAGACTGGCGATGCAACAAGAGTTGGACCGGTTAAAGGGTATGTTACTTATTATCTTACACTCTTGTCATGGGCATTCAAGCCTTAAATGACAAAGGTACCCTCCTTTTCATTGTATCAGGACGAATATTGAGAAGCTTCAGCACCTGAGTATCAGAAACTACTGTTCTGAGCCTTCTTTTTGAGTGGTGGTGAGCTTTCAGGTCTTAATCCACTACATACACTAGCTTGATGAATTTATGTAATCACAATATTGTTGTAATTTGAATTATTGTCTTATCTTTGCACATAACTCCAAAAAGGAACGAGATATATGGGTGTGGCCATATATGTGTGGCACCTAGTTTATTTGCTTTGGTTGGGGGTGGGGGTAATTTGGTTGGTACCATCCGTCACATTTTACCCTTCAATTGCACACCTGATCATTCTTCCCATGCCAATAGTAGAGCATTTAACTGCTGAAGCTGTCTCTGCATAATCACAGTAGTGGTTGTGGTGGAGAGCCAATTTTAACCCTTTGAATCCTCAGATCAAAATTTGAATTCTCTTTTTTTGCCCCTCTTAATTTCCTACAGAAGTAGTTGGGAGAAGTTTTAATCTCAAGCAAATTCATCTTGTGTGATCACGTCCATAATTCTCATGACCACTCTGTTTTATAGAGCATTGATATAACAAGGAGAAATTTGATGCTGATCACTCTTAGGACTTAAGGGTTAAGATTTCATAAATAACGTACTTGTGGTGATCGACAAATAACTGTCGTAACGCTCAAGGTTTATGGGAAGGCGCATTGTTTTGCAGATTCTAATACAGCGCTTTTAAAGAACATCGAAAGAAAAGAGTTGGAAATGCAGATTTTGCATGGTAACCCATATTTTCACTATCTTTCTCCTGATGATAGTAAAGCTATGTTTTCCTTCTAAAACTCAAAGTGTAACTTCCATCCTATCTCCTGATTCTAACCTTGATTTGCAAGTGTAGGCTTACAATAACTTGAGTTTCCTGGAAACTTTGTTTCCATTTCTTGTGGAACACCTGTTTTAAAAACACACAGAAATAATCATGTAAATTTGCACTACCCAACCCCCCAACTACCCTAACTTGAATGGGGGCTAACTAGAAAACCAACCAGAATTTTTCTTCCTAGCTCGCACCTTTCATTTCCTTTATTAGTTTCGTACTTAGATGAAATATCATTAAGAGCTCAATAAAGAATTGTCTTAATTGTTTTGAATCAAACTAAGTTGAACTCAAAACACTTAAACCAGGATTTCACTTTGAAGTCCTCTCGTTTCTTTATCGTCTTGTTACCACCAATACCAACAAACACTCATATCATCACGCATGTTTTCAGATTCATACAAGCTGCAGATGGACTCAGAACGAAAGAGGCGCGAGGAGCTAGAGAATGAAGTATTTCATTTAAGAGGTGAATACAATGTTCCTATGACGTGCTACGAAATGAAAGCAAGACCAATGTTTCAACTAGAGTATTCAAATCTCATTTGCTAGTTATTTGCGAATGCGCTATGAAAACTCACAAAGATGCTTAATCAAGAAAAACATGATGGAGTTCGGTCGTTTCGATCCAAAGTCGTTTCGATACAAACTGAAGTCGTTTCGATCCATCAACAAAGTCGATTCGATCCACGTAGATCTTAGGATGGATCCAATCGACTTTCTACGCGGATCGAATCGACCTGTTGATGGATCGAAACGACTTCAGTTTGTATGGAATCGACTTGTATCAAAACGACTTTGGATGGAAACGACCGAACTCCATCAAGAAAACCGGAAATCTCCAGCCACCCATACCCCGCCCAGGGATAGGTTTTTAACAATTTCAGCCAGCTTGAAGTCATCACTCAGCCTTCCACGGAGACGTTTCAACGCCAAGGGGAGTCGTATTTAGACAGGAAATACGATCCACTCCCCAATAAACGCCTGCGTGGGCAACCGGCGAATACATCCGTCTCTCCTCGCTCCTCGCTGCTAAGGACGTTTCGCTACTGCGTGGGAGGGCTTTATGGTTACTTCGCCCCTAAGTCATTTCGCCCCAGTTACTTAGTCCCCTATTTTAGAACGAGGAATGTGACATTTGAAGCGCGCTTGTTTTGGTTTATGGTTTATAGAACGAGGAATATTATATTTGGAGCGTGCTAAATGACTCGAAAATAGGGAGCGAAGTAACCGGGGCGAAATGACCAGTTACCGTGGGAGGCTATGAAGTTAGGAGCCACGGTTTATTCATTTTTCTTCAGCTCAGTAACAGGCGTTTCATGGGTGTGGGCTCTACCATGGCCGAAAGCTTCACGTACTAGAACCCGACATTGTTCAACCTAGTAATTAAATCTGTCGCTGGTGCTCTTCACTTTTCTCCCCACTGTCGCCAGCAGAGTCCATTATTGCAACCAATCAATCAGTAGCGTTGAAGTTGTGAATAGTTACCAACTTGTATTGATTTTTTTTGCAGCTCAACTTGGAGTCAGTGTGAAACAAGAACCTTCATAGCAATGAAGAATCCTTGGATCGTCGTGAGAGACCCCTGCTAGCAGGGAAGGGTTCGAGGATTGGTTGTGTAAGAACTTGCCGCATGCGGTTGTAGGATTCACATTTTCCATTGGTAAAAGCAAGAGGCCAGAATGAAACAAGACCGCAGAGCATTAACCAACGCCGATATCGAATTTAAAAAGATAGTTGGAAAATATTTATTAGAGATTGAATTTCTTTTCAGAAACTTGATCAGTGACAATCCGAGGCTGATTTCAACTGTTTCAAGGGATTAGTTTCTAAAGAGCTCATCGTGCCGCTCAGTGGGAAAGCTTTTTAAGATAAATATGGCATCTGCAATCCGCGAGCGTTTACAGAGTTTAACGTTCTTAGGGTTAGAATAAATCGCTCTGACAAAAGGGCGCTTGGAACCAAGGGCACCCAACGAGGATATAGTTCAAAACCACTTAACATAGCATTGTTGGACGTATTTTAGTATTCAAACGGTAGATATAGGCATATTTTTATCCCCTAAAAACTTTTCATCTGTTCGGATTTCCTAGCTGAAAATCTAGTGATCCGAAAATTATAGGGATAAAAACTTACCTTCTCGAAAATTTCAGCCAGGAAAAGGCTCCCGAAAATTCTAGGTGGCCTTTTGTGGGGCAAAAATCCGTTAAAAATGAGTAATTATACCATTTTGTAGATGTTCGAAAATCCTAGGAGAGGCAGGCAAGCAAGAAATTTTACAACAAATGCTCCGAAAATTCTAGATCTCAAATCGTCTTCCGAACAGATATTTTCCCGAAAATTGCCGTTGGGTGCCCCTGTTGGAACGTCGACTTGCTGTGCCCAATCCTGAATTGACTTCTATCATCTAAGTTGACAAAGTAAGACTGCCATTTCTATTCATGAGGTTTTAAGTCTATTGTAATATACACTGATAGGGCAAACGAAAACATGGCGTTGATCTTTTTCATTCTTGAAATTGTGTGTGCACTCTGGCTTGTATCCTATAATGTAGTGCTATTCCTTCATTGATCGTTATTTGCTGAAATATTTGGGCCATTAGAGCGGTTTTGGTTTCGTCTCGGCATTTTCCTGTTTCTCACCCTTGATGATTCCCTGTCAAGGGAACGAGAACAGGTGGGCGTCCTAAAGCAAAGCTTCGGTAGACTACCAGCAATCTCTCTTTGCTCGTTGGATTTCAGCAGTCCATCAGAGAGAAGGGGAGAGAGAGTTTCGCAGCGTATCTCGTTAGCTTGCGTCCATGACGATTATAATGACTGGAGTTGCTCTAATTTCCAGCATGTAGGTATTTTGACAACCGGTGGTTTCGGCATCTGAGGTTCATCTACAGGATTTAAAAATTATCCAATGTCAACTTGGATAATCGTCTCAGTCTCTTTATCTCTGCAATACCCGTTGCCTCAGTAGAGAGCTTTAGCAACGACGGCAACGAGCACGGCAAAAAAGCAAAAGCTGCGTCCACACGAATCCGATATTATTGAAAATTGAACCGGATATCATTTGACACGAATCGACCTTACGTCCACCTGAAACCAGTGAATCCGCTCACCGAAACCGCATCTTCTTTAAACCGCTTTCCGGAGTGGTTTAAACCTCCGGTCAGACGAATCCGGTTAAAAAGAAAAGTGCTTTAAAAAATGTCCGGATTTGTGTGGACCGGCGGGCTTTTAATAGATAAGCGAAAAAAAACTTTGCACGTGCACGCTTTTTTGTACCCGCATTACTTCGCCGTCGTTGCACGACCACGACTTGAACACACACGACAACGATTTTTGACACGTGCAGAGTTGTTGTTTTGCTTATTAACCCTACTGCTTTGTTGATTTTCTCGTTGCCGTGGCCTTCTTCGTTACTTAAGCTCCTTGATAACTTTTAATAAGCTGATGGGGAAGAACCTGCCACCTAGAACTGACTCAGGTCCCGGGGGGTACTCGCAGAAAAAATTGGGTAGGGGTGTGCGGCCCGCTTCCCAAAACCCTTACCCTATTAATGACCAAAATCTGCGATTTTCCCTACCCTATTTATGACCAAACCAAAAATTTGATACCCTATTTATGATCTCACCCTTAAATCAATACCCTGTTTCAGACCTGCCTTATAATTATTTCCCTAGTTCAGACCAATGTTAAAGGCAATGTTTATCTGCTTTTATTAGGTTAGGGGGACATGATAAGGAAGTAGCTTCTTCTAAAAAAGTGCATTCAAGACTACAGTGTAAAAATCGTTACCCTATTTATGACCAAAATGGCGGCAAAATAGCCAAAATCGATACCCAATTTATGACCAAAACGGCTGAAAAACCCTACCCTTTGGGGCCGCACATACCTATATAGCCCATATTAGGGAGTACCCCCCCCCCCGGGCTCAGGTCTGGTTCAGACGCTGAACTTTTCATGAGCCGAACCTAATTCGAATTAAGGCCGACCCAAATAATTTAGACCGGCTGAATTCCCTTGAGTTGATTCAGACGCCGATCTTTAAGTCCAGCGGAACTAAATTCAAAGGCAGAAAAATGTTCATTTCGGTTAAACCGCCTTCAAAATACGTTATAAGGATTTATGCATTAGGTTCGGCACATGAAAAGGTCGGTGTCTGAATCAAAGCCGTTCCAAAGTCGTTCTAAAGTCGAAATTCCCGGCCGGGCTAGGCGAGAAGAACGGCTGAGCCGCTCCAAATTGAAATAGGGGTTCCTAGTCCTGCCTAGTTGATTCAGACGCCAAACTTTTCATGTATTTTCTTCAATGTATTATGTTCGGCTCATGAAGAGATCGGCGTCTGAACCGGGCCTCAGTCGTGCTTTAATCAGTATGTGACGGTAAAACCAGAGGAAAGGGTATTAAAAAGGCATGAATTAATTAAACGTTTAGAACTGTTTGAATTGTACGCATTTTAGGTATCTTACTGATGAACGGTTATAACAGATGTTTGTAGCAGCAACAGTTGTTCAAAGTTACGGTCCCCTTTCAATTACATTTCACTCCGAGTTCCGCGATATTACAACAGCATAATTTTATCACTTCGTATAAATCCCAATGGTGGCCTCGGACTTCAAGTTCCAAAGTTTTACTGCAAATTTAAGTCACGATGGCAAACATTTTTGGTCATTAGCATACGGATTAACCCGTGGAAGATGTGGCCGTATATACCAATTAGGTGCCAAAATTAAAAGAGCTGGTTACGTCATGCAGTTTGTGCAATTTTCAGCTCTTTGCAATCAGTAACAAAGAAAATAGCGGCAATTAAAACTGCAAAATTATTGGGTGGCGAAACGATAATGAGCTAATACATTCTTTGTAAATTGTGGGGTTTTTCAAAACGAATTTCTTCGAAACTATTTGGTATATCGAACTCAAATTTTCAGAGACAACTGAAATTGCTATGCTCTTTCAATATTCAGAAATTTCATTTTATTAGCTTCATTAGATAATGATAAGGCTATGCTAATGAGGCAAAAAGTGTAAACAAGGATTCGCGTACAGTCCGTACGTGGAAGAAACTTCTCTCTTTGAAGAGTAATGTACGAACTAAAGAGGTACAATACCTTTTGGCTTAAATGACGCATTGTTCTGGTCGCTCCTCAAAGCTGCAATGATACTGTTCACTGTGGCTCCTGGACCTGTCACCTTTCACAAGGATTATAAGCAAAAAATACGGAATTTTATTCCACTATCAGTTGCATAAGAGTATTCTTTAAGAATACATACCTGTTCACGAGTTCGTCCGTGCTGTACGTTATGGACCTTGACCAATCACAGCAAGGTGCGTGCAAAGTAAAAGTCAGTCGCGACTTGCGTGACGTGACTTTCTCAATGCCTGGCACGTTGCACACGCATGCTTGGAAAGAAGCTCACGTTTTCATGCGTTTTGGCTTGGCACCAAACTGACCTGTTGTCACTAGGGCGATTTTCTAAAAAACGAGTCCTGGCTGTAGTGAGTCTTTGTATTGGTGACAAGGCCCGTGGGCCTGTTTATCTTTGGATAAGATACTATACGGTGTAAGGTTATGGATAGACACTGACTAAGGATGCGCATTTCTTTTGGTCAAAGCGGAAAATACCATAATATCTATTTAATTTCCTTTTGGGTGGTGCTTCATGTAAACCCGACTTTTGCAATATCTTTTGCTCCTTGTACGATATGCAGATTTGCATACACTGCGCGTGCAGTTCATGCAAAGAGAGATAATGCAAAAGTCAGGTTTACATGAAGCGCTACCCACACGTCAGTTTAAAGAATAGAAAGCTTTAGCAACGACGACGGCAACGGCAACGAGAACGTCAAAAAAGCAATAAGTTTAACAACCAAAACGACAACTCTGCATGTGCATCACACTTAATTGTAGCGGGGCTCCCGCGCGCGCGAAGCGCGCGTGGGACAGAGCCCCATACCCATGGAATATGGTCAACCTCTTTTCGTTTGGTTGTCACGTGATTGACCGAGCGTACGTACGTACGTACGTACGTACGTACGTACGTACGCGTCTACAGATTGTATGGGTGGGGTAGGGGAGACTATCAAAAGGAAGGGAGGGGTGTCTCAGGCTTGTCTTGGCAAGCCCACATCTTTAATATAGGACATTAACAATATGGTCAATTGACAGCTGTCCAAACAGGATAGCCACTGACCAGTATCCCATGACCATATCGCGGGCTCATGTGTCAACTCATCGAGGTGACGTGATTTATTTGGAAGCTGTCCGCTGACCAGTTAACTGTTTTACTAGATCGCGAACAACGTTCAATCTCATACTTTTACTAGTTTGGGAGCACAGGAAAACTGATAATGCACACATATTGGACATCAATGTTTTGATCAATTGACAGCTGTCAAAACAGAGTACCCGCTGACCAGTATCACTTGACCGTATCGCGGGCTCAGGTGTCGACCCGTCGAGGTCAAGTATTTTTTGAAGTTATCCGCTGACAAGTAAACTAGTTTTCAAGTGATCGCAGGCTCAAGTTCAATTTTTTTTCTTAATTCATATGAAATATGTTGTGCTTATGTGCTGCACAATTAAAATTTTGATTGCAAACTGACCTCGGACGTGAAAATTCAGCCAGCTGTTACAGGCAGGGAAGACAGTTGCTTTTGTTTTTTCTCACAATGGTCACGCGTTGGTCACGCTCTACGTCCAATTTTTATGCTCTGATTGGTCAAAATTTGACAGGTGAGTTAATGCGCAAAATTTATGCAGCATCTTGAATCTTGTTTACTTTAACAGCTGAAGCTGACAGAGTTTTGTGTCAACTTGTGATGTTTTTAACTGTCTTTTTCCACTGGATGTACAAAATGAAATTCAGCTGCTATCAGGAGTCTTCTGTTACTCATGGCTAGTTTGTTTATTGGGTTTTTGGTTGAGAAAACGTCGCTTGTCAAAGTCGGAAATCCGATTTCGGATGGCATCGTTTTCGTTTTCCTCTTGCTTGATGCGTAAGAGGATTGCAAAGTCTGAAGCGATACTGGCTTTACCTGATAACTTTCAGGAGCTGCATCTCGAATGGTAAGCCAGAGAAATTATTGTATTTCATGTTTGTTTTTTGTATCTAATTTAATGGAGTGGAGCGTAGTTTATGCGGGAATTTAGTTTATGCGCGTTTGTAAGATTTGAGACAACGATCTCACCGAGTATCTGGTTTGATATAATCTTACAGAACTTTAAAAAGCCTTTAGACAGTTTCTCACCGCAAATAGAAAGAAAATGTTCCAAGGAATCTTTAGTTATAATTCTAGTCGGAAAAGAAAGCTTTGAGCGATTTTCTTGCCTCGAGTTCGTCTTTGAAAAAACAAACACCGGGAAGCTGGCTTAAAACATAAACTTCAGCAAACTTAAGCTTGAAGCTTGAAGATTCAGGATATTTAGGGACACTTTAATACTTGTCTTCCTGAATGAAAATTGTTGTCTCTGTTTATGTCTCACCGAATTCTATTTCTTTTATTGATTGTTAGTAGTCTCTCTTGCAATTTTAATCGCTATGCCGATTGTTTTCAGTCGTTCAGTGAACATCGCTTGCAGGAGTTCTCAAAATGCCGCTCGTTAAACCATCAAATAAAAAATAAACATGATAAATTCTTTATTATCTTGGAGCGTAACTCTGTTAATGTTCATTCAAACACTCGCTACAGCTCGCACTACAAAAGTGAGAACCGGATGGCCGTATAGGTGATTTTGGAAAATTTTTTTAACAGTTTATGAATATTGAATGAGAGCAATTTGTATTGTGAAATACTGCTTTCTGTCCATGGTATAAAAGGTTGGTTTACACGCACCCAGATTTGTTGGCAAGATTTTGCAAAGTAAACTTGTCGAACGCCAAAACGTTGGCCTGATTTTTTTTCTAAGCCTAATTGATCTACGGTGATCAATAGCCATTACGGCTCTTAAATGTGATAAAAGATGATTACCAGTTTTTGAGTGTACATATGAGGCTATCAACTCGATGTAAGATTTGGTTCACTCTTGGGCTGTTTGCAAATTATTTTTCTCTAAAATCAGGTAGCCTTTCCCTCAAAAGTCACATAAATGTGCTCTAAAGTTAACTGAATTGTGGAATTCGAATACAAGTTTATTGTTTAATTTAAATTATAAATTTACAAATGGGAGCCTCGCTTTTAGCCCTGGCTAAATCTATATATTACATTCCTTTGCCGTCACTGCAACTCTGCACCTGCATCACGCCTTTTTGTACATTTCTTTCCCATCAATGCATGACTTTGACGTGAAACTTGCTAATTTCACGTTTTATGGAGGGCGTGAACCCAAGACAACGATTTTCTTTTTCGTTTTGTGAACTTAGATACAGTCCTTTAGAATTCAACTCCTGAAAAAATTGCCAACATTTTGACAAATTTAAAGAATTAGAATGAGAGCGATAAAGTTTGAAGCAGAGCGAATTCACCTTTTGGGTGACGTTTTCGCTGCCGTTGCCGTCGTCGTTACTGCATTAGGGACTTTCATTAGGGACGGCAACGGTAGAGAAAACGTCGCTGAAAAAGTGGATTCGCGTTCTTTCAATCTTCAAAGCGATTACTCTAAGTCACTAACTCTTTGAAATGTAAGCGAACCCTGCCAAAGTTGAATTCCTAAGAACCATATCCAAGTTCAGAAAGAGGGAGGAAATTTCGTGGTCGCTTGTGTACTTCCTCTGTACAACGTGAAATTAGGCATTTCACGTCGTAGTCGTGCAGTAACGGCAAAATATGTACAAAAAAGAGTGATGCATGTGCAAAGTTGTTGTTTTGGTTATTAAACCTATTGCTTTTGTGACGTTCTGGTTACCGTCGCCATCGTTGGATCTGTCCCTACTACTGTCTTGGAGCCTGGAACGGGATAGGTCAATCGCAAAGACCAGGGTTCGATTCCCAGTCAAGCCTGAATTTTTTCAGGTTCTTTTTCAACCGCTTAGGTGCCAACCGCTTATGTGCCACCCCATCGGGTAGGGTTTTTGCGCCGTTTTGGTGTGAAAGCGGGTATACACTTTGTCCATTTTGTTCTGGAATCGGGTATGGTTTTCAAACGAACAATGGGAGTGAATCAACATATTTATCGTTTCAATTCTAAATGAGTAAGAAAGAAGGAGAAATATGCGAATTCGAAATGGCTTTGACGAATTTTTTTGCTTGCATTCTAATCTAAGAAATGATAACATAATTTCTGCCTAAAGGCCAGGACTGAAAACGGGTATGGATTTTAGAGGTCGATATGGTCTGATAACCGGTGTGGAAAATTTCATTTTTTGGTCTGAAATATGGTCAGGATTTGGAGAACTGGGTAGCACACCCCCACCAAGAATTCCCAGGAGTACCCTTTCCCCCACCCCGGGCCTCATGACCGCCATCTTCAAGAGGACATCAAAATAAAATGATCAGTCAGGTCGACATTTCTCTCCTCCAGTACCAACCTGTGATACTTGAGCCTGGTTGACTGAGGGTTCCTCTGGCGGCCAAATTATATTAATAGATTGTTCTATCGTTGTGATAAGTTGTTGAAAGTTGGTCTGAAGGAGTCCAGCTTGCTCTTCATGATCAAATAACACCATCATTTTGAGTAACGAAGCTACGTCCTCTGCAATGTAAGCACAGTAAAGCCCAAATAAGAAGGTAACGTGATTTTCTAAAAATTCATCTTAAAAGAGGCCGCGTCCTGAGGATCATTGTTGTAACGGAGATGTTACACGCGACGATTCGCAACAACAATTTTTAACGCAAAACAGCGTTGCAACATTGTTACTACATTGTTTGGAATGGTTACAACATTGTTCCAACACTGGAACGATGCGTTGCGCTAAAATCGTACCGTGTAATAAGTCACTTCGGAGCTTTTAAAAGTCATTGCTAAGTGCCTTTAAAGTTCATATCACCCCGAATTTGTTTAAAAAATGGAATTTTATTTTTGCTACGGGTTTTTTAATACGTTTGCTTAATAATTAGGTTGTGACTTTTTGGCCCTGGGGCCAGTGAAGTGTTTTGAGGCATTGTTCTCATTGTAAAAAAAGACACTCAAATACTTAAAAACATATAATTCAAATACAACATAGCACGATTAAAACCCCCAACTGACAGGAGACAAGCGGTTGGCTGTTTACAATCGTTGCCTAGGATCTGAACTCGAGACAAGCGATAACAAATCCTGCGGATGGCCAGAGCGGGACTCGAAGCCAGGACCGCCGGCTTGCGAGTCCGACGCGCTGACCACTTAGCACGCTGCTTCTTTAAAAAGGAGGGAAGGGAAAAGGGAAGAAGCGGGAGTGAGTTCATACCGGTGGATTTATTTACGGATTGAATGATATCTGAAAGAGCTTTCATCAACGCGAAGTCCTCAAATCGGCTTCCTTCTTTCAAACTGTATATCTTGCTTGCTGCCTTGCGACGATTTTTTGAAGATCTCCTGTGATAGATAACAGGGAGCTTTAGCAACGACGGCGGCGACGGCAACGAGAATGTCAAAAAAGCAATAGCCTTATTAGGCAAAACAACAAATTTGCACGTGCATCACACTTTTCTTGTACATTTCTCTGCCGTCTCTACACGACTGCGACGTGAAAATGCATAATTTCACGTTTAATGGAGGACGCAAACGAGCGACGACGAATTTTTCTTTCTCTTCGTTAAATTTAGTGTGGTCCCCAAGAAATCAACTCCAGAAAATTCGCGCACTTTTGACATTTCAAGCGAATTGGAACAAACGCGGAAAAAGTTTGAAAAAAACGCGAATTCCTTTTTAAAGTGACGTTTTCGCTGCCGTCGCCGTCTTCGGTGCAAACTCCCTAATAAGGTTTTGAGAACTACACGATAAATAGAAGCGCTTAGGCGAAACCTTAAAAACACCTTTTCAAAGCCTAATTCACATTTGGACGCAGGGTAGTGTTCGGTGACGGCGAAGATCTAATAATAATATGATAATAATATCAATTAATTTGTATTGCGCAAATATCAATGTAGAAAAAATTTATATTCATCTGCGCATTACATAAATCCTTCTTACAAATCCTATTAAAAAAATCTACATTTAAGAAAAACAAAAACAAAAACAAAAAAAACAATACATTCCTAGTACATGTCCTAATTCTAAAAATTCTAACCCAATGACTAATTATTCCTAAAATCCTATTTACAATTCTGCTAAATAATTCATAAAATAATAATTCTAAAATTCTAAACACAATGACTAATTATTCCTTAAAACCCTATTTACAAATCCTAGTCAATAATCAAAATTTATAAATAAAAATAATAATAAATAATAATAAAAATAATAAATTAGCTAGGAAACGCCTTCTCAAATAAATGTGTTTTTTGCGCCTCAAAACCTATCGCTGAAGATATATTTCTAATAGAAGAAAGAGAAGATCCTTTCATAATATTGGGGCAGCCATATAAAAAGATCGATCACCCCAGGGTGGTAAAAGACTTGCAAGTTGGATAGTTAAGAAGTATGCCGTCATTTCAACTTAAGCAATATCTGCCCCCAGTTTCTTTAATAGATACAAGTTCGGAAATGTAACTCGGAGCGAGTCCATGAATGGCCTTAAAAGTTAACAATAACATTTTAAAAACTGTGCGATACGCGACGGGTTACAAGTGTAGGGCTCTTAGCAATGGTGTAATATGACACATCGCCCAATGTAAGGGAATCTGGATTCCGGAGTCCTCGAAATTTTGGCTTGTGGAATTCGGAATCCGGAAAAAATTGGCCGTGAAATCCGGAGTCCTGGGTTTTGGAATCCGGAATAGAGCTCAAGGAATCCGGAATCCACGTTCCACTGAAAAAGAGTCCTGAATCAAATGCCTCGAATCCGGAATCCGTGACGTGAAATCCAGAATCCAAGAATGTCTTGGATTCCCTTACATGGAGCTAGACACAATTTGCTTTCTTGGAATACAAGGCGTGCAGCAGAGTTAAGATTTCTGGCAACTGAATATTTCTTTGCAAAAGTCTTCACTTGTACCTACCCTGACGATCTCGACCCGCGTGAACTGGTACTAGAAGCGTATTCTGAATTGTCTCCGACGCTGCTCGTGTCAGAGTAAAGATCTGTGTCTTCTCGTGCCAGTCCACTCTCTGTTAACGTAAACATAGACACAAAGTTTTCTGTAAATACCACATCTATGCAGTAAAAGCCGGTTTCACTTGTTTCCACCCGAAAAGTGACGTCTGCGAACGTTTTCATAGTTTGACGACCGAAAAACCTGCATTTATAGGCTCTCCCTTAAACGCAGACGTATTTCCGGAATTCTATATTTTGTTGTTCTTTTGTTTAACCAACACTTGGTGTATATTTCCGAAAAAAGGTGACGTCTGCGAACGTTACTTTTCAGGTGGAGAGAACAGACGACTGTAAATACGTCTGCATTCGCAGGCTACTCCCTTAAGGAGAGTGTAAGGACAGTAAATCACATACCTTGGAATTCTATATTTTGTTGTTCTTTTAATTCTCTAACCACCTGTAGTCTCTTGGTGTATTTTTCAAATAACTCCTTCTGTTCTTCTATTGAGCTAATGTGGTGGTTATAAGCTACAAGGGAATAAGCTGTGTAAGTTAAAAGCCAGACAACAGTTACAAGTTTAACGGTTTTAACAAAACTCTCCGTGGCAAGTTAGCCTTATAAGTCCTACCCACATTTTCTCCAGGGATGGTAGAGCGAGTAAAATACTATCCGTAAGAAAAACGGAGCAATTTAGGTTTCTGGGAAACTGCTCACCTACCCCACCCTTAGGCAAACATTAACACTAACTTCTCACTTAAAGCAAAATGTTGACTTTGGGGAGGGGTAGGTGAGCAGCTTCCCACAAACCTAAATTGATCCAGAAGAACAAGGGATTTATCTCAGTCTAATGGTAAGTTCATGATTGTTTTGATTTTACACTGCCACAATTTACGATTGGCTGAAAAATTTCGCGCCACTTTTTCAACCAATCAAAAGTAACTCTTGACCTATCCGACGCATGCGCACTGACTGTCTTCCTGAACGGATCAAGTTTTCCTTTATAAATCACTATTTAATCCCGGTGGAAGCTAAATAACGCTGTTTGGATAAGCTAGGTTCTGTTGATTACAAATTTTCAAGATTACTGGACAAACCTTCCTCTAAGGCGCCTTTCAAGTGCGTCTCCAAGATATCTATCCTTTCATGCTTATACATCTGAAAGAAATGAAAAAAAAAAGTAACTTCGAGTCGAACATCGTTCAGCGAATAAAAATCTTGAGAATTACTTTCACCCTAAAGCACATTAAAACTTGCAAATAAGCGCCTTCACCTCCTTTTCTACACTTTCTTTTCACATCAAGAATATTCACATGAAAATCCTTCTCGTCTCTTTTAGATTGAATATTTTTATCTTTGACCACACCGGCTGAAGGAAAGCAGTTTCCTTTCAATTAATTCTGTTCGGATTATTACTCAGTCAAAGTACTAGCACGGTGCAGAGATATTTCATGTTGACTATCTTCTCTTTTGATTTGTGCTATATAATCACCGCGTTCATCATTATTTTGGCTGAAATTTTTAATGACAACGCTTGTTTGAGACGAGATTTTTCCAAGCAGATATTATTTATTTATTAATTTTTTTTTTCACCATTTGCATACAATCGCATAGAAACGACCATGGGCAAGTTAAGAACAGAATCCACAAGACCGATAGCAAAATATCCTAGCCTCAGGCTATCGGACAGGACTTTCTTTGCACGCTGAATACTCAGTATTGTGAAAATCTCATACTCGTAGTCGTCCTCGTCTCAAAATCTAAAGCTCTCAAATGATATCACTGAGAGAACTTACCAATCTTAAGGCTTCCTCCCAATGCATCCCGTCAATAAGAACGGCAATGGCTTCCTCGGGGTCCTGAAAAAGAACAGTCCGATCTTCTTGGGCAAAGAGAGCAAAATTTAGAGTATAAAGAAGACAAGACGGCCTGTGAATCATCGTATTGAGTACCTTTTTTAACGATTCCTTACATCAAACAACTGAAAAAACAAACTAACTTTATTTGGAGAGGGTGACACTTGATAGTTCAAGATCTGATAAACCTTTAGTCCTTTAGTTTTCGCCAAATAATTGGTTTACAGATCAAATAAAATTTTGGAATGTTGGTTTTTGAGATGAGGGGAATACGGGACACTCGCTCCAAAAACGTCTCTGTTGGTGGCAGGCATCCATGCTTCCCTCTACGGATTATATATTTAAACAAAGTCCGGCCATTGAAAAAACCTTGCGCAAAGAAATTCTTAACATCTATCTAACGACTGCTTCATCTCTTACAAGTTCAATTTACCTTGGCATATTCCTCCAATACTCTGGAAGCTTCGAGAGACCGCTTGTGTCCTTTCAAATAACCTATTGTACATGTAACAAGTTAAAACTCGCATAAAATGAGACACTCGACATGGGAGAGAGGAAAAAGCCCAACGAGAAAACAAACTCAAAAAGTACAGGGAAAGGTTTCCTATTAACTAAGGTAAGAGCACCAGAGTACAGGCACCGCCATGCATGGATCACTAACATAGCTGTGTTAAACTGTAGACTGTTCAGAACTTTATCGAAATGCTGGGAAATTCAAGTTTCAAATGGTCGGACTCGATGAGTATTTCCCACGATAGCTCTTGATGAAACGATTTTAGAGATTAAAGCGACGATCGCATTGCCATTTTGATCAAGTTTTACAACGTCATTCGTGTTAACTGCACGACTGACGAACAGAGACATCTGTCAAAAATCTGCTGCACTTTCACGTCGTAGTAGTGCAGTGACGATAAAGAAATGTACAAAAAGCGTGATTCACGTGCAAAGTTGTTGTTTTGCTAATTCTGGCGTTTGCGTTGCCGTCGCTGTCGCTGTCGCCGTTGCGTAAGCACCCTATTATTTTATCGTTTCCGTCGACGTGGTCGTAATAGCTTGAGTTCGCAACAGGCGTTAAGCAGCACAACAATTTTTGATATACGAAGATTTCGTTGAAAAGCCGACGATTTGATGGAAAAAGCGCGACGAAAACAACGTCCGCAGATACCCATACAGAGAAGCTCAATGGTGCCATTTACGTTTTTGAACAAACAATGACCGTAAAATGTACTTTTTGACAAAACGTTTTTTTTAAGTGTCGATAGAGTTTTGCTAATGCTTTGGGTCTCAATACCTCTGACTGTGATCATTAAAAAGATAACCGGCTTAGCATTCTCATGAAATGGCACGCAGAGGCTGTTCATACCTGCCACAGATCTGGCCAATGAAATCACTCGTTCATCCGTATGACGTAAGAGAGAGGCCATGCAAAACACTTGTCTCCAGTTCCCGCTCTTTTGAAAAGACGACAATGCTTCTTCGTAAGCTCCACATCGAGTAAACACTGAATAAAATATATAAAAACAAGTTAAAATAAAAATGTATAAGTTAAAACCCACAACACCTCAAATCTTTCTAGAGAAGAAGTTAAAAGCAAGATACCTAGCCCAGCTTCATCATGTCTCTTGTTTTCAAAAAGGTGTTCTCCATAAGCAATCGACAGCGCCTACACACAAAAACCTGGCGTCAGTTAACATAAACACTACTTTTCTACAAACAAATCCTCACCTCTTACTTGGAGAGGGTCGACTGTTCTACCATACGATACGTAAACCCAAAACCACTTTGTGGAAAGAAGGGAACGTATAGAAATAGAAAGTCAGTCGTCGTCTTGCTCCTAGTCCTCTCTCGTGTTGGAGTTTCCTTGTTCCTACGAAGAAGCCACTGACTTACAATATCGTGATAAAAACAATTTAGCGAAAACGGGTACGAGACACCTCATATGGTTTGTTTGTGGTTAAAGACGGCGTTCTCAAGAAAACCGTGATCTATACCAGGATCTTTCAAATGTAACTAAAAGCAACTCCAATAGTCCACTAATAATAAGTGGAAACTGTCTTAAAAGGCGAAATAAAAGGGTTAACGTGCATACCCTGTACTGCTCACTAGATTTTGGGTAAAGCTTCAGTGCCTCCTTGAATAAACAGTGTTCCTTTACCACTGAGACGAGTTCCTCAAAATGTTCCGCACCTGAAAAATCATAATAATAAATAATAATTGTAATAATAATAATAATAATAATAATAATAATAATAATAACAACAACAACAATAAAATCAAAATTTTAACGCTTCATAAAAGCCCTAATTCTCCACGCTTTCGCAAGATAAACGTTTTCTTTCGTTTTGTTGTGTCTTGTTTGTTTGTCTGTTAAACAAAAGGCACCTACTTGAAGCTTGGGTGGACAAAATACACTGAGTTGAGTGAAATTGTGCACGTGAGCCTCGACAACATTTCTTTATGTTTGTTCACTGGAGCGGAATATGAAAAAGGTCTATTGTTGTCTTGTATTCACATCTATACACTGTAACTCAGTAGTGCACACTATGTAATCTGTGCATGACATGGCACAGGCTACCCAGGGAAGTTTTGTTAACTTACTGCACACACTCAGGTGATGAATGGCCTTGCTGTAGCGCTTCAGATACTTGTCGATCGTGTATCTCTGGAAATTCGTCTCCAGTTTTCGAAGATTATTTAGAAACGGGAGATACTCTTTTGGATCCTGAAAAGGTCAAGGATAACAAAAATGACAAAAAATAACGTTTTCGGGTTCTCAACAAATTGTCCTTGTCGCGCTCCAACGAAATCGCCCGCTACGCAGCCTCGGCAAGAACGCATTTTTCAGACGAGTGTAGTATAGATATCTAAGATTCCTAAGTTAAGTCTTTAAAAGACTTCATATAGAGATCGCCGGCCTGGGAATTTCAAAACTTTACCTTAGCGACAACAAGGCACTGTGCAGCAAATGCGCAATTCCTAAAATAGCGCTTCAGCCTTTTTTAAAGTAGCACCCTCCTGAAGCATCCTGGGAGCAAAGCCTCCTTTTGTCTTCTTGAGTGAGGAGGGGAAAATGAGGCTCTGCCTTAATCACGTCAAGTCTTTGAAGTCGCCGAAGCCCGAGCCGCTGGACTAGTCAATCTTGTTCTCTCTCGTCAAACTGGTTTATCGAGTATAAGTATCCGCTTTTTGATAAACCAATGGTCATAACTGAGCCTGCTGTACTAAGCGCACGGCTGGCAGGCCTAGGTTCAAAACTGTATCTCAGCAACAAGCAGCACATGTTCAACAAAGATCTTACTCGATTCATGTCGAGTCTTTCTAGAGTACGCCAAATCGAGTAAGTAAAAATGGGGCTCTTTCGGCAGGGTGCAAACTCACTAACCCCAGTGCCTTTACCTTTTGTGACTTTTCGGCGACCATAAGAACCAACTCGAAGTCGTACATTCCAAGTGCTACGTCATACATTTGATTGACGTCTACAAGAAACAGCACGTATTTAAGGGCCTCCTCCGACGTCACAGGGTCGAATGCCGCTGAGGCGACGGGATTGGCTGAAATGAAATGAAACATGAAACTTCAGATTTGATTTAAGACCACGATTGCAAGGACTTGATTCTTGACGACAACTTGCTCGTGAATTGAAACTACTATCGCGTGACAATTTTAAAATTCTGTGTTATCGTGATTGTATAGTTCACCTCAGTCTGAAATGTCATCCGTCTATGTTTACCTTTCAAATCCTTGATAATGGAAAGAACCTTTTCCAGCGCCGGATTTGTTCTCTTGACGTACGTCGTTAAGATGGAAAGAAGATACCTACAGAAAATTATGGAAAAGATGTATTTAGGGGAAATATTGTAAAACGTAACACATAATTGCAGATTAACGAGCAACAGATCTGTATGGAATTTACCATTGTAAATGGCCAAAGAGAACTGAGCTGCTGAAACCAATTAAGGGCTCTTTGACTCAAATTTACAGTTCATAAATTTACGTAAATACTCTGGCCTATCTTAAAAAGCGAATTAGGTTCTGAAACCCAATCGAAAGCAGTCGCGAAATAACGTTCGCCTCATAATTATTTTTAGTATATAGTAAAACAGTGGAGAGTGTTTTTCGCGCGATCTGATTGGCTACTCAATCAGTGAATATCCTGCACTATTCACTGATTCACCTCCAGTTCCTCCGAGCGAGCGAAGCCAAACTCGCGTAAGTTGCGAGCAAAATGCCTTCCCGGTTTGCTGCCGAAACAAACAAAGAAATTTCACAACTAATCAAGCAAGCTGTCGTCGAAATACACGAAAAAGGTGACGAAGTTCGGTTTGGAAGTTTTAACAGGTAAAGCTTTGTCTTTTTTACTTGAATTTATCGATAAAACCGGTGAAAAAACTTTTTGTTTACAGCGTTACTTTATTTAGTTGACTTGTTAATAATCATAAATAAGCTTAAAGCTAACTTTAATAATCTTTTTTACAGAATAATTTTGAATACAAAAAGAATTCACAACTCCTTTTGAAGAAATTTCCTTGCAAGAGCTAAACAAATGCCTTTAAAAGTTTTATTTGTAGGCAAGAGAGAGTGACGACCGCGGCCGTTCGGTCATTGCGCGCCAAAATTGTAATCGTTGGCAACAGTAAATTAGTTAAAAATCATCATTTTTGCGCTCAATTATCTCACTGTTTTAGTATTTACTAAAACAATTATTCACCTCAGTGTCGGTGGCTAGTGGTGGATATTTACCTCAGTGTCGGTGGCTAGTGGTGGTTATTTATCTCGCCGCTTCGCGGTCTCCGTAAATTACCACCACTAGCCACCTCCACTTTGGTGAATAATTGTTATATACAGCTATTTCGAGAAAGGTTGTCGGCAAAAGTGCACGCGACAATCCCGAAAGGTATTGTGTGCGGTTTTGAGTTCACTGTTCTTCAAAGAAATTTGAAAGAATGGCACGAGAGGCCATAGACGTATGTTTGCGAGTGCTAAAGGAAAGCAATAATAGAAGATTCGACAGCTGCAGTGTCAGGAACAGCGTGTTGATTGCGTGCGCATTTTTTCCGACAACCTTTCTCGAAATAGCTGTATCCTCGGTAGTGCACTGGTACTAGCTTGCAATCGAGGCTAACCTGGAGAATATTTTAACCGCTACAAATATTTTCCCTTGAAAAGATTACATCACATTTCACATAAGACCCGACCTGACTCGTCCCTAGTCTTCTCTATTTGGATACGGGAATCGCGCGCGGGGGACAGGACGCGAGAAGCGTGACCGCAGGGAGCGCGAGGGGTGATGGGAAGGAGGAAAAGGAAAGGGAGACTCTCCCATTGTTGCGGTTGTGCTTTTTATTTTCGATGGGGTGAGAGAGAAAACTAGTAATAGGCTGCAAGTTAATGCCAGTTCTCTACCGGGAATACCAATATGATACTGTTTAACCTTTCTTACGATGGAATTCAGTTTTAACATACTTGTTGTGTCCGGCAGTTTCTAACGTACGGCGTAACGCGTCACAGACGCGATCAACTTTACTGTCCTCTGAAGCAGGCTCCAAGAACCTGTTAAAATTAAAGAACAATGTCGTTACACCGCAATCGACAGTGAAACCCTCACGAGGTCTACAACAATAAAAAAAACTTACGTCTGTCTTGGTTCCGTATAATAGTCAGCATACATCGTTGCAGTTACATCTTCCTCCCTTCAAAAAGAAAAACAAAAAAAACAAGCAAAATAAATAAATAAATAAAGTGAGGCAATGGTTTGGTTCGATCTGTAACACCAGTAACACCGATAGGAGGGGACGGCCGCGTGAACCCAAGTTTCTCCTGAAATGGGTCTTTCCTTAAAAGAAAAAAAAAGCCTCGCGGAAGGCACCTTTCAACATCCTCCACGGTTATGACAGCCTCCAGGAGAATTTTGCAATTGACCACAAGTGGGTCATCCGTAAAACAAGTCACAAATGAAAACCGCAATACTTCGCTAGATTAGTTAACTTTCACACTGAGCCACTAAAACTGAATGTATCACACGCTTCTCTCGTATTAAGTAACAAAAAGTACAGATGACAGAGAGAAAAAAATAATAATTGTACTCACTTGAGGTCAGTAAGAAATAAGTTTATAAAGTTCACAGATTCCACCTGGCTTATAAATGTCCCCAGATTATCTAGGAAGAGCTGTCGGTTGAAGCGAAGAAGAAAAAAACAAGTTTTTAAGTTTTAAGGAAAACTTACGCCTAGGCCAAACGTCAAACATTCCATGAGACGAACCCAACTCTAATTTGGGTCGACCTAAATTAATAAACTAATAATAATAATAATAATAATAATAATAATAATAATAACAATAATAATAATAATAACAATAATAATAAAGGTAGGTTGAGTTTGATCAGACCTTTCACAATAATTACAAAGGTTTACTAAAAATCACCAACTAGTACCTGACGGTGAATTACATTGTGTTTACAAAATAAGGCAGAAGGTTTACAATTTCTTATTCTGAAACAGGGTTACAATAATGCCTCTATAAAATAGATAAAATACCTGGTCACTAATATTAAACAGTACTATAAATATCACACTATGGTACTGACGCTATAGTAGAAGGGGCGCTAAAAGTTCTACTGATGAAAGTGCAAGTTTATAGGCGAGAGCGGGGAAAAAGGTACGTTAATATCTTTCCATACGGCACTTTGGTAGGGCTGATTTGTCACTACAGGTGATTTTGACGAGAGAGCAACATTAAAGTGGGGATTGGGGAATAGGATGCGCAATGCCCTTTTCTAGACTCGCTCGATCTTGTCACTTAGATAGAGAGGTAGGCTGTTTGACCACGTGACACAACAGTGTTCCAAAACTGAGCGTACCAATTCAAATTAGACATTGAGGTCACTAGGGGGACACCAGCCCCCTTCAGAACCCTAAGGATATAAAGACGTTTTGATGCCTTAGTAACTCTTTCATTGATGTTGTCGTTCCACTTAAGGGTGTTACACAAAGTAAGACCGAGTACTTTCTAGGAGGGCAGGTTTTCCAGGCGACGATCGTTGTTAAGAAGTGGTGGAAAATTAGGTCTAGTTCGGAGAGTACAAATCGTCTTCTCCTTGCACTTCTTCGGGTTAAGGTTCATATTGTTTTGCGATGACCACTGAGAGATGATGTTAAGATCGGATTGCAGAGATTGTTGGGTCAGACTTCGAACTTAGGACGCGTCGAGCCAATCAGCTAAATAAGATAAGTGATAAATTTTCTTCCGAACGAGGCTAAATATACATTAGCATACAAATTTGTAATTCACTAGTTTAGTTCTGTAGTTTCTGTTTTCCTTTTTTTATTTCTTCTATTTTATTTTAATATTTTCTGTTTGTTAAATATCGGTTCATCGGTTCTACGTAATCAGCGGTATTTTGACCGCGTGGTCGTGGGTTTTGTAATGTGTTCGCCATGTTTGTTTGAATATAGGTTGCATTTTGTTTTTTCCCTTTATCGGTTTTCACCGAGCCAGCCGGAGGTTTCTACACGTGTTTGTAAGTTTCTTTTGTTACCGTTTTCTGTATTTCGTCGTTTCCTAGTGTTAGTGTAAGTTTTTCGTATTATTTTCGTCTTTTATATTTTTATCCAGAAACCATGTTTATCGTAAAGTTGGTTTCACGAGTTTGACACGCAACACCTACAAGCAGCTCACTGAATTAAAGGTTGTGGTTTTGGCGGCTACATTAGTTTAAACATAAGCCGGTGTATCCATGGAAGACGAAGCAAATGCAGTTAGCGACGAGGTGGTTGGTCCTCGTGGTCAAAAAGCCAGACATGTGCAAGCAAGTACCCACCTGAAAAGAACTAGAGCTGGTTTTAGGTCGGTGCTTACGAGGAAGAGGAATGAACTCTAACTCAATGGTACTGACGTTGACTGTGTAAAGAACAAAACATCGGAGCTTAATCGAGCATTTGAAAATTTCAAGGGAGCTCATGAATTGTACACGAAGCGTCTTGTTGATGTCGGTAGCAATAAGGAAGCTTATGATTATTTTCACGCCAAGTATCATGCTGTTAGTCGTTTGAGAGAAAAGATAGCTGGTTGGATTGTCGGTGTTGAGTGTGGAAAGGCAAATTTGCCTGGTTCTGATGTTTTACCTGAAGATTAAGTCAGTCAGGCAGGTTTAGGTGATAGATCTGTTGCCAGTGGTAGCAAAGCAAGTTCTGTGAGACGGAAGATATGTTGAGGAATCAGCCAAAAGAAGAGCCTTGGAGGCAAAGTTGAAGTTGTTTGAGGAGCAACAAGCTTTAGCAGAAAGAAAATTTCAGTTGCAGCTGCAAGAGAAGAAGTTAAAAATTAAGTCTGATCTTATCCAGATAGCAGCAAAGGAGCAAGTGTATGCAGAAACAGGTGCTTTGGAAAGAGGCAGTACATTTGAGTTAGATCTCAAGTCAAGGGAACTTTCTGCGCAAAATTGCAAGGCCAAAGAACGTGAAGGAACAGGAGCAACTAAAGTTGAGCATAAGGGGCTCAACCCTGGGGTCTATGGGTGGTCCTTCATCTCTGCCCCCCCGTGAATAAGGAATGTATCAATCACAAGCCAGTGTAGAAGCTATTAAAAGAATAATAGACATCCAGGAGAAGCAGGTAAAATGCACAGAGGGCCTTGTTAATCAGCAATACAAGAGTGCACTAACCTTACCCTGCCTAAGCCAGAAGTTCCGGTTTTTGGGGGAGATCCTGTTGAATGTTCAAACTATGTGAAAGCATTTGAGTTTCCGATATAGTCAACGACACAGAGTAGTAGTTCAAGATTGTATTACCTTGTACAGTATACGGAAGGAGAGTTTCAAGAGTTGATGTACAATTATTTAGCTATGGATCCAGAAGAAGGTTGTCCTGAAGCCCGTAAATTACTGAAACAGCGGTATGGTCAGAGTTACAAGATTACCACAGCTTAGGTAGATAAGGTGACTAAGGGGCCAGCAATTAAGACTGAATACAAAAAAGGATTGCAGAATTTTGTCACCTTGCTGACAAGTTGAGCAAGATTGAAAATCCAGACAGCTTGAGGAGCGTTATCAATACGCTACCTTATGATTTGAGAAAGAAGTGGCGAAACACAGCTGATCAGATATCAGAAGATCAAGACAGAGACATTAACTTTGAAGGTATTGTTGTATTTGTCGAGAAACAAGCCCGTGCTGCTTCCCACCCAGTTTTTTGGTAACATCTCAGCTCGCTCCTGCGAGCCTAACCGCCGCCTGGTTAGCTCAGTTGGGAGAGCGCCGGTCTGCCGAGCGGGAGGTCGCGGGTTCAAACCCCGGCCGGACCAAGACTCAGGGTCTTTAAATAACTGAGAAGAACGTGCTGCCTTTGTAATGACATCTGCAAGTGGTTAGACTTTCTAGTCTTCTCGGACCGTAGGTCCCGTCTCACAGCACTTTCACTGATTTGTTCTTGTGGGACGTAAAAGAACCCACGTCACTATTAGAAAAGAGTCGGTGTCGTAGACCCCGGTGGTGTGGCCAACCTTTACGGGTTGTAGGATTGGGTAGGGATGGCACCTCGCATGGGACCTGAGTCCCATTCGAACACATTCCCTCTGGGCAGGCCTGTGTCCAGAAAATCTGGTAAACAATTCAAACAAAAAAGAAAAAGCCTTGCAATCAAAGGGGACGATGCCGACCATGCACGGAAGAAGCAATGAAAGCAAGGAGGATCCCCCTAATGAAAAGAATGGAAATCTAAACAACTGTCTAAGTGTACAAGGGATCATTATCTGCATGACTGTCCCGAATTTAAAGGGGAGTCTTCCCGAGGAGCGCGCGCAGTTTGGGAGAAGCAAAAGACTCTGCTGCAACTGCCTGAAACTGTACCAAAGAGTGCAACATTGCAGAAAGAAAGGAGCTTGCAAGGACTGTGGTAGAAAACATTCATCTTTGTTACCTCATCCCCCTGTAGCTGGTGGTAATGCAAACAAAGATCAGGTTCCGGCTGGTAAACAACAAGAGAATCCCCGCTGTACAAGGAGGTGAACAAGCTGTCCCAAAGGTCAACCATGGTTTTATTGAAGTCGAGCCTCCACTCGAATGTCAAAAGCAACGGTTTGTTTGCCTGTGGTGCCCGTAAAGGCTACGGGAATATGGTGTGAGAAGCCTGGTGACAACTTGTGCATTTTTGGACAATGGTGTTCAACTCAACATTTTGCACAGAGGACCTACTAAACGAGTTCGGGCTGAAGGGTAAGAAGAGGCAAGTTTCTCATTATCCACTTTTGAGAAACAGAACAGTAAGGTCAAATGTAGTGTTGTTAGTTTGATAGTTCACAATCTGCAAGAGAACGAGTTTATTGACTTGCCATCAGTCTTCTCTACGCCAGCTTTGCCAATTACATGCGATGATATCCCGAAGTAAGAAGATGTTAAGAGATGGCCAAAAAACCCGTCGCTTAAGTGTGCTGACCATAGAACAATTGCACTTATCAGTCATGCTAGCAAAGTGATGTTAAAGATCCTTAAAAAGCGAATTACACCAACTGTGGAGTCTGTGTTGGATGATTATCAGGCAGGTTTTAGAGCAGGAAGAAGTACAGCGGAGCAAGTGACCAATCTCAGAATATTGTCAGTGCGAAGAGTACAAGGAAAACGGCTCAAAAGTATTCTTGAATTCGTCACCACAGAAAAGCATTTGATAGGGTGTGGCATGACGCTATATGAGCAGTATTGAGGAAATGTGGAATTGATGAGAGCATTATGAGAGCACTCGAGCAACTTAATGCGAAGTCAACAAACAAAGTGAGGATTGGAACTAAATTTAGCGAGAAATTCTTATGTAGTGTTGGGGTGAGACAAGGGTGTGTTTTGTCGCCAAATCTTTTCAATGTCTTTCTGGAGGAGATTGGAAGCAGAAAAGTTCAAGAGTTGACAGGTGGCATTTGTGTTCAAGGATTGCTGGTGAATAACCTTCGATTCGCTGATGACATCGCATTAACCACAATTATTATTCATTCAAAATATTTCCCCGATTCTGATTGGCTAAAAGCACACGTTTAATTCACCATGACCAACTACTGATGACCAAATTTGAAAGAATTTTGACTTTAACGAGGAAATGACGTCAAAAATGCAGCGCTTTCGCAGGTTAAGGCACCCTTAACCGAGAAGACCTGGGGACGAGGTTGAGTTGTTTTGGTTGTGAACTTAAAAAAACGGCGGACATTTCACTCGTTTCAAGAGTAATAACTAGGCGAAAAAATAGCTAAAAATACGGCAAGAACAGCAAGAAGACAACTCGAAGGGCGACATCTGCTATCTGGAGAATATTTGCGGAGCTGAACAAACCTAAACGTACACTATCGAAGATGAACTGAACATCGATGGATCGATGGAGGTAAGCATGTTTTAGCTATGTTTTTAAACTTGGAATTATTTTGAATGAATAATAAAACAGTTAGTGAATTCGGCTTTCGTATCATATGAAGAATTATGGAGATCTCGGAGGATGTTATCCGCCTCCGCCTACGGTCTCGACGGATAACACCCTCCTCGATCTCCATAATTCTTCATAAGATACTCAGCCTCATTCATTAACTGTTAAATAACAGCAATGAACTACAAGACCTTACCAATAAATTAAATACAGAGTCGACAAGATTCGGAATGGAGATTAGTGAAGAGAAAAGTAAGACCCTTGCAGTAGGTGAAACACCAGGGACATTAAGAACACCTGTTAGTTATCTGGGAAACAGTTAGAGAAAGTTAAACAATTCAAGTACTTGGGTCGTAGTATGCCTGATTCAGGTAGATCGACGAATGAAGTAAAGATACGAGCAGTAATGGCTATGTCGTCATCAGCTAAATCGAACAAATTGTGGAAAGGCCAAACTATTAGCTTCGGAGTAAAATTGAGGTTACTACGATCGATTGTGATTTCTGTTTTACTTTACGGGTACGAATCCTGGACATACAATGAAGAGATTGTCAAGAAGATCAACGCGTTTGAATTTAAGTGTTATAGAAGATTACTGGGCCTCTTTTGGAGGACAGACGCACAAACGAGTCAGTGAAAGAACAGGTGGAAGACTTAGCCGGAGCACAGAAACCCCTAATTCATATTGCGCAAGAGCGCAAAAAGCAATTTTTCGGCCATGTCACGAGACATCCCAGTGAGCTTAGACTGGCTAACACCATCATGCATGGTCGAGCTCCTGGAAAGGGAGGGCGGGGTAGACCACGGAGATGTTGGATAACAGACATCTGTGAATGGACACGGAGTACACCATCACAAGCTATCAGGCTTGCTAAGAAGAGAGACTTAAGAATAATCCAGCATCAGTGTGCGTCTACGAATCCCGAAAGACCTTTGGCGTGAACTAGACTTGCCACTATTACTGAATAAGAGAGAGAGCGAAGTCTGAAGGATCTTCAGTTAGGAGACATTCCTTCTGAACGGGCCCTTGGCGTCAAGTGGAATCTAGAGTCAGTCACATTTGGTTTCAGAGTGAAGGTTAAAGAGAAGCCTCCTACTGGTAGCGGTATATTGTCCTTAGTCAGTTCAGTGTATGACCCCCTGGGGTTCGCCAGTCCTTTTGTATTACTTACTAAAGTTATCCTGCAAAAACTGTGCTGTCACGGATTGAAATGGGACGAGGTGGTCCCTGACGAACACTTGAAGAACTGGCAACAGTGGGTTCGTGATCTTCCACGGTTGGAAGAATCTTCTGTTAATCCCTGTTTTAAGCCTAGTGGTTTTGGAGATGCTAGCAGCTGTGAACACCACCACTTCAGCGACGCTTCGCAAGTTGGTTACACTGCAGTCACTTATCTTCGCTTAGTGAACGAATCAGGTCAGATTATGTCAGATGATGTTCAAGGCAAGAGGATTACTGTACCACGATTGGAACTATCTCCTGCAACTGTCTCTGTCAGACTTGACAAGATGATAAAACGAGAGTTAGGAATGACCGTTGATCGAACGTTTTTCCGAACAGATAGTACATCATTTTGCACCTGGTCATTCGGGGAAAGAGTATGTTCTGTCACTTCTACGAAAAAAATTCTGGATTATCCGAGCCAATTCAGTGGTACGTAATTTTCTCGCCAATTGTATCAGCTGCAGACGGCGACTAGCTCCTGTGTGTAGTCAAAAGATGGCAGATCTTCCTGAGGAACGTGTTCCCCCTGACAGCCTCCGTTCAGTCATGCTGGGATCGACTTCTTTGGCCCATTTATGGTGAAGCAAGGAAGAAGTCAAGAGAAGAGGTTTCTATATGGCTGTATTTTCACATGTCTGACGATCAGAGCCCGTCCACATCGAAATCGCGCACTCGCTTGATACAGATTCCTTTATAAACGCTCTTCGCCGTTTCATTGCGAGAAGAGGCAAGCCTGTGTTAGAAAGGACTGATAATGGGACCAATTTCGTCAGTGGTAAGAAGGAATTGCGCACCTGCATTCAGAAGTGGAATAGACAGCGTGTTCATGAGTATCTGTTGCAAAAACAAGTTCAATGGATTTTTAACCACCCAGCAGCGTCGCACCACTGTGGTATTTGGGAACAGTGTATAAGAACTACTCCCAAGATCCTGAACGCTCTTCTCAATGAACAGGTCCTGAATGATGAAGGGTTGCTGACTCTCATGTGCGAGGTGGAGGAGGTTATAGAAGGTCGACCCATCACGAAGGTTTGTGAAGACTCCAGAGACTTAGAAGCGCTTTCCTCTAATCACTTGCTTCTACTACGGTAAGGAGCTGTTTTACCACCAGGTCTTTTTCAAAGGGAAGACAACTACTCCCGACGGAGGTGGCGCAAGATCCAGTATTTGGTGGATCAATTTTGGAAACACTGGTCTAGAGAGAAAATCCCTTTGCTTCAAAAGCAACAGAAGTGGTACAATTCGCGTCGAAATTTAGCTGTGGGAGACATTGTACTTGTAGCTGACGAGACTAACCCGCGGAGTTGCTAGCCGTGAGCAAGAGTGATCGAAGTTCTACCAGGCAGTGATGGTTTTCTGCGACGAGTTAAAGTCAAGACTAACACAACAGTTCTGGAGCAACCAGTCGTTAAGAGACGTTTCGCCTAGGCCTTAATCATTGCGAAGAATGAGTGGACATCATTAGTAATTGTAATGAAAAAAGATGAAAGACAAAAGCATAGAGTCGGGAAGACTTGAACCCAGTTTTCTACATTTATCTCTTGTACTTAACCGCTACATTAAAGGAGCAATGAGTGCAATCGGTAACAACAGCCGACCGTCATTTTATAGTGTTTCTGTGGAGTTTCAAATAGGGTAACTAAAACTGAGCTAACCGATCTAAATCAGTGCTTAACCCTAATTACTAAACATCAGTGCAAACCATAATGGCAGCTCTATTTTCTTACTTCTTTACCTACTACATTGGCTTCCCTTCTTCGTAATTTTGTACTAAATTAGCTTTTCTCCTTTCTAAAAAGCGATAAACAATACTACCACGCCTAAACATTAGAAGTTTTCGACACCTTTTGAGCTACAAAATTTAGACGTTACACTCTGAAACAAGGTTGGCTAATGAGCGGACCAGGCCTGCATATTATCTTTTACCTCACCTTAGGATTGTGGTCGTGTATTAAATTCAAGTTAATACGATGTCGCCGCATGGCTATGAAAGCATCCCGATAATAAAGACTGAATAAAGAGAAAGGAAACATAAGACTTTAGAAAACTCACATTTCTGCTTTTCATCTTAACCCTTTCACTCCTAAAGTTGACCAAAGTGAAAATTCAACAAAATACCTAAATTTCATTTCGCAAAATGCTGAAAAAGAAGTGGCATCAGGTGAAAGTACTGCTAAAGAGGTTTCATTTCAATGGTCACACTATAGGATTTCATCCACAGACTCAAAAGTTAGAACTACATACTAAATAAATGGTACCATGTGAAAGTACTGCTGAAGGGGTTTCATTTGAATGGTCACACCATAGGATTTCATCCACCGACTCAAATGTCAGAACTACATACTAAGTAAGTAGTACCATGTGAAAGTAGTGCTGAAGAGGTTTCATTTGAATGGTCACACCATGGGATTTTATCCATAGACTTACTAGTTAAAACCGCCATACGAGATTCGATCGTTCACTCTGACAGAGAAAGGGCTTAAAGTCGGATTTTAATCTAGTTTTAGTCTGAAAGAACGCACAACTAAAAATGTCGTTTCCTTGACCTAACAAAGGCATGACAAACAAAGTTCCCCATTCAAAGCGATTTAAGTTACTGAATTAGGATATTTCGTTAATCCTCATCAGCAAAATGACAGTGGCCATCGCGTCGCCTTTGGAAGGGAATTGTTCACCAGTGGCAAGTCAAGTCCTTCATAGTCTCCTCTGTTTTAAAGTCATTTGATAGTATGATCTTCAGTTAATGAAACCTTTTATTAAATGGCTAAGTCTGCGAGTGGGCAAGATGAAGCGAATCCTGCGTTCTGATTGGCTACCCAACTTCCCGCTCGGGATTTTCCGCGTTGGTCCCGCAAAAAGTTCTCTTTTTGGCAATATTGATAAATCCTTTATTGACCAAGGTTGATCAGTCAAGATGGCTGAATATTGGCCTCGTTCCTTGTCTCGTTCGAAAAAAATGCAAAAAGGACTTGGCGAATATCCAGCCATATTGACCTCACGCTTTGTAAATGACGCAGATATATTTCAGGGTCGACGTTGTGATCCCGTTTCTTTCCAGTGCCGTTGAAAGACAACAGAAGATTCCCCGGTGGGATGATTCTTTCCTCGGGTCCCGAGTGTAGACAGTTTCATCTAAGATTCACAGTACAAAGCAACGCATCGACGTTTTCAGTTTAAACGTACAAAATAGCACACTTACCCATCTAAACACTTCTGTAAATGAGACAATACTAATGCGCGCGGATGAATGGTTTCCAGGTTTCCACGAGGCATCTGGCAACAACAAAGATTTAAGCCTCAAACATTAGCTAAGTGTGAAGCACTGCACGTAATACAGGCTCATTCAGAACTTTAAAAAGTACCAAGTAAGGTTGAAACGAACCACTCGATACAATAAATGTATGAAAATATTTTTAATATACCGTTTTTTTAGTAAATCATTTTTACATTCACTGATCATACTTCCAAGCAAGTTTACGTTTTGGGTACTTAAATCATCGGGTTTAAAGCGAGAATAGAAAAAACTCTTTAAAATAAAATGCCATAAAATGTTTGTTAATGGAAAATAATTCTGATAGCCTGCGTAACAAGCGTTTCCGCGCATGTTCGTCGAGAAAGTTGAAACGAGGGCGCGAAAAAGAGAGGTGAAAAATTTTCGCGCAATAACTCTATCCGTAAAGCTTGCTATACGCAAGCTATCATTCTGGCTTAATCTAAATGTGTATTTTTATTATTTAAAAACACAAACCTGAAGCACGACTTTAGTGTCTTGTGTAACAGCCACTACTATTCGCGAACCTCTCTCGACACTCCTGATGTTTTCATCTAAAGGGTGTGGTTTGTCTTCCACTAACGTTGGTAACCCTATATGAAATGAAAATAGATCTAAAATACAAAGCCCAAGAGCAATTACACCAGAGAATTGCACCCCGCGGGCCTATCTAAGGGGCTCTTTGCATGAAGGGAGGATGTTTCTAGCACCAGGAAGATCCTAGAAGGCGAACCATCTCAGTGTCGTATGTTTTTTGTATTCAAAGGGTTGTACTTGTCCCTAGCGCTAGGATCTTCCTAGCTGAGAAGTGGGATGATCCTAGTACGAGGAAGAACCTAGCATCATGAAAACTTGTTTCTCAAGGAAGATCCTAGTACTAGGGGAAAACTAGAAAAAAAATTGGCGGCGGGTCGTTGAGTTGGCAATCACGGTAACAAAGGCCGACAATTTCGTTTGGCGTTACTACGCGCTGATGATTGTGCCTCGGGGTGCAATATTTGGGACCCGTTTTGTTCCCAAGATAGGAAGTGCTGGGCAAAGAATCAAGCAATCGAAGACTGATTGTCATAAACGCTGCGAGTCAAATATATCCGGATGAGTTGAAAGACGACCACGATCGCGAGGAAGATGAGATTGACGTTTTCCTCCAGTCTCCCACGAAGACAGGCCTTTGTTCGGGTAATGAGCCAGCGCTCCTCACCTGAGGGAGAGGCGGAAATCGAGCCTACCACGAAGAAGGGATAAAATGAACCAGCAAAGAGAGAAAAGAGAGCAGAAGGGCGCAAATTGCACGTCTGTCATAGTCGCCTGCCATCTTCACTTTCCTTCTCTACGTGGTAACCACACGGACAAAATTTCTGCATGTAAACCCAACGAAAAGATGTTTCGCCTTCAAGGATCTTCCTTTCTCCACGTAAACAGCTCCTAAGCTTGTACCGATAGGTACAACCCACCTCCAATCTCAACTAACGACAAACTGATTTACGATTTAGTCTACAATTCTGGACATCAAACATTTATCGCATATTGCGCACGTTACCATTTGCTTGACACAAAAACGACATTTGTATGCATTTTACTGAATTTATGACAACACCAATTTTTCGGGCCTTCGCTGACAGAGAACTGGGTCCTACCTTGAGTGTTTGGTAATAGGCTGATACAACGCAGTGTGTGCGCATGAGTTGTTAGTAGTAAGAATTCATCGTGAACCGCAAATGAACTGCAGTTTGATGCCACCTAAAATGACGTGTACGATAAGAAAATATGCAAATTCAGCCATTACGACTTTCTGATGTCGGTTATCAATATTTCAACTGTATTGTGGTGTTTCAGTTTGCTAATCAAGTTAAGTAGTAATAACCACAGATTAAGCACGTATTCCAATAGCCGACGTTCGGTATATCAAATTCTGACATGACTCCAAGGCTTTCTGGTCATTTTTTCTATATTTGGTTTGCTTTTCTTTGTGTTCAAGTCTCTTCTGGGAATTGTGAGACAATGGAGTCTTGAAAAATTTGCAATTTTGACCTTACAGCCTCGAAGTCACGTTAGAATTTTAATATATCGAACGTGGACGGTTCGAGACAAGGGAGAAAGAGTGAGATTTAACAAACGTTACCGTCCCGTCCATCAAAAATAACAACCGAAAGTTGACTCTTCTCTCTTTCGGGTCGTCAGACTCCAAAACGTAATATTAAAGGAGCAGCCACAAAAAAAGCTTTCAAACTAGTTGTGTTCCGTCAAGCGGAAACATAACCTTCGGTCGCCATTCATGACGGCTTGGATGTTAGCTCTCTCGTTAATTCAGCTCGCTACTAGCTTGCACGAGAACGAGGTAAATTTTGCCTGACAGAAAATGGCGCCACTCTCGATTTTTGTCTCTGTAATAAACGAAGGAAACGATCTGTTGACGGCAATATCTACCGTTTACGCTTTATAGTATCAAATATGCTTTCATTTTCACTGCAAAAAAAAGATCAATAGGTGTTCGACTGTGGTTTTACACCAATCCACTTTTCAAAGCAATTTAACCTGAGGCCGGTTCATAGCACGGACTTAAATTTACTAAGGTGTAAGGGATCAAAGCTTAAGTTTAAAGAGAAAAATAACTAGGCTCACCTCTTTGCTGTTAACATATAATCTTGAATGTTGGGTAAGACCTAACGCAACCTCCTGAAACGGTATTACTAACTCTGATTAAATGATGTTTATTTTTTACATACTTCATATAGAAAGCACTAGGTTGGACTGAGGTCAGAGGGTCGAAGAGGGAGGGTAAGGACGAGGACGACTCGAGGGAGGACCTTCAAGAAAGAACGGAACAAGTCTTGAGTAAGGGTCAGGACAACAACACAAAACAGGACGGGTTGGACAGGCAGCATGACGGCCTGATGATGATGATGATGATGATGATAATGATGATGATGACGACGACGATGACGACGATGGTGATGATGATGATGACGACGACGGTGATGATGATGACGACGACGACGATGATGATGATGATGATGATGATGATGATGGCTTCAAAAACGTTAAGAGCCGCGTCGTTGGTACTCATATATGGTTAATGAAAGCCAGCAACATGTTATCACTTTTCAATCTTAGTTTTGCTTTTCTTTTTCGAACAAGACGGAAGAAATAATCGGAAAAGCGCTTATGTGTGCAAGTAATTTATTCTTAAGCATACAGCTATGTATCCTAAATCTCTTCCTCACAGCCTTCGTTGTTCAGCGGGACGGGCAACGAATTAATTCCTATGTGTATTAGTGCAATGTTTGGCATCACAAATAACAAACCTCGTTGCCCACAAAAGCGATCTTCACACATTGGCAAGGCTGCGGAAGCGACACTTCTTCGCCTCGGCTGTTTATCCATGGAGATAACGAAGCTTGGTTTGAATCTACAACAAAAGAGGATAAAATAATAATTAAATGAAAACACGAAAGGGCTGGCTAGTCCTCAAGGCATGGAAAGACAGGGTACTTATTTCGGCTCTAGGATTCCTGGGATCGTATAGGTAACGAAATTAGGTTTTGATAGGTCCGAGGTTTGTAAGGCAACCATTAACCAATCATAGCCCATAACAGCTACCAAAACGACGATCCCATGAATCTCAGCGCTGATGGCTGGGATGTACTTCTCAAAGTTCTGGTGAGATGAATGATAAAAGATTTGCTAATGTTCTTAAAACGCGCTTTAAGAAGACTTTGGCTACTTCAACCGGTACTGGACGAATTTTTGAACGGCCGAAAAATTCGTGCATTTATCTGTACCGTTCACAGGGAACCAAGCTAACCGTACGAAAATTTGAACTCTTAGCCGTTCAAAAACTCGAGCGCTTAAATCGAGGTCAAATTTTAAGCCGGCACGGTCGAAAATTTAACCGGCGCGGTGTGAACGCCATGACCGTCTAAAATTTCGTACAGCAAAGACGCGGTTGCATGGATGCGTGGTAACTAAGCTGGGAGACGCCAGTTTGGATTTGCTATATTAGCGCTCTGCGCATGGGCAGATGGTAAAACTTAGCCTTTCAAACATTCGAACACCAAAATCGAGGTCAAATAACCGTCTAACTTTTTGTACGAAAAATTTGATCGGCCAGGTGTGAACGCCATAACCGTCTAAAATTTCGTACCGCAAAGACGCAGTTGCATGGATGCGTGGTAACTAAGCTGGGAGAGGCCAGTTTGGATTTGCTATAGAAGCGCTCTGCACGTGGACAGATGGTAAAACTACTGACAAAAAAAATTAAATTCGACCTGATTGGTCGGTTCCGTGTGAACAGCGCGAAAGGATTGAACGGTTCCGTGTGAACAAAGTGTCCGGTCAAATTTTTCAGCCGGTCGAAAATTCGTCCGGTGCCGTATGAACTCAGTAGCCTTTGTTTTAATAACCGACCTTAAGCTATGGCACGCACTGAAGTGCGAATGATGTACTGACATTCCAATTATGTCTATTAACACGAAAGCCACCATTAAGTTCGTTTTTGGTCGGATTAGAGGAGAAGGTGGCATTTAACCGAGAAAGATGTTTATTAAAGAAATAAATATTAAACGAAGACAACTTTCTCACGACGATAAAATCGGCGACAAAGTTGTCGAGAGTTTGTCCTCAAATTGGGTAACATTGGAGAACAAAATAATCCACACCCTACCCCTCCCCTCCATTCAAATTTGGGGTGGAAGCAAGGAAGCTAGAACAGCGGAACAACATTGCATGAGGTGGGTGGGGAGGGGAAGCTTCATTTTACCCTTTTGAAGTGGGCAAAATTTTGCCGCCGATCACAGATTTAAAACTGCTTGATAGCTTAGAGAAATACCTGAGCTGTATCTAAGCAGTGATCCGCTCATAAGTTCAACAAACACAGATCCTGAATAGGAGCTTAAACACAGGCGAAGGACTGGCTCCTCAGTTGCTGTCTTGTGCCTGAAAATGGATACAAAGGCGGTCCAAGTGAGTACCCGGGAGGAAGGGAAAGGAGGTACCGGTAGGGTAGAGCGCTAGTTTGCAGAGGGGAATGTCCCGGGTTTGATCCCCGGGGGTTAGACCAATACTCATGGTCTAAAAAAGACTGAGAAATGAAGGTACTGCCTTTGCCCTGCAAATGGCTAGACCTTCGCGTGGCAAGAAGGACGACGTAAAATGGCGGTCCCGTCTCCAGTAGGAGACGTAAAAATAGTGTCCTCAATTGTTACTTTGGTGCTAAATACATGGACATTCAAATGAAGTGCTTTTTTTCACTATGGGATACGATTAAGTGAATACCTGATAACAATTCTGTTGCTGTTATTTTCCGTCACAATCTCTAGTTCACAAATAATGTCTGCTTGAGTCATCGAATCCCATCCCAAGGCTAAAAGTGTACTCTCCTTCCACCACATTAACTGACGCCAGCTCAAAGGACCTCGCCAAATCGACGGATCATCTGTTGTGTCTACGCTTCAAAGCAGAAGCATCAATCATGTTAGATACAACAGTTAAGTAAGATACATATTAGAAGTAATAAGCCTGATTTTAACAAGGGTTAACTTACTATAACACACTAACGCTACCTATTCTTCATCGTTCAGCCATCAGTCATAACATTGAGAGTAATTAAAGATACATATTAAAAATATTTAGTCTGATGTTTAAAGTTGGTAACTTACTATAACACACTAATGGTTATGCTACGTATTCTTTACTGCTCAACCATCAATCATAACCACCATGCGTGTCTTTGTTCTTTCAAAATAGCTATTTATCTGCTCAATATGTCAAACAGGCGGCTTTTCCTGGAGTTAAATTCTTAAGAATTTTATTCAGGTTCAAAAAGAGGAAGGAAAATTAGTCCAGCGTTAAAACGGCCACGGTGGACCTGATGATATATTATTGTTGTTTGAAGTCGTCGTTGTGGCTTTAGCAACGACGACGACGACGGCAACGAGAACGGCAAAAAAGCAAAAAGTTTGATTCGCAAAACAAAACGTCTGCACGAGCATCACACTTGCCGTCACTGCACGACTACGACGTGAAAAATACCTAATTTTACGCTTTATGGTACGTGCAAACGGACGCAACATTGTTGGACAACATCTACCACCATTGTTGGATGTCACTTGTGGCGTCCGTTTGCAACGCTGTTGCATGCTGTTGCCTGTTTTTTTGCGTCTTGCGCGTTTTTTTTTTTTTTTTTTGGCAAAATAAAGCGATGTTTTTGCTAAAGATTATCAAATGCTAAATATCAAGCGGCCAACCTCCTAGCCTGCGAAAACAGCTCCTCGCCGCTAGGGTCGTTTCGCCAGTAGAGACGTCTACGCCTCAGCGAAACGTCCCTAGCGACGACAAGCGAAGAGAGAAGGCTGTTTCTGCAAGGTACAAACCTATCAAGCGGCCACTGGTCACTACCCCGAGGATGACAGCTGGAAAATCTAAAGAAAGCCTCTGAAGAAATATAAGCACAGGTACGCCCTCTGTTTGTCCTCTGTTTGGTAGCTTTAGTTTACAAGTCATGTTTTTTTCAGAACAGCCGTTTTACGGAAATTATTCCACATTAGATTCTCATACAAACACTGTAATTTCTCAGGCGTTTGCCTACTTGTCAAGATGGCGTCGAAAACCGTGACAAGGTCTATTGCACATACATGACTTTAGTACCTGTAAGTTGCTACAAGTGTCGGTGCTTTCCCTGGAGGTTTGAACTTTTCCTTGACACCATTTTCTAACGGTGATTTGTAGATAGCTACACTACCATTTGACAATAGAACTGCCATGTCATTACACATGGGTGCTGGACCAAAGCTAACAATTGATGCTGGTGATGGCAGATCTATGGTAAGGGCTGACATCGGTGGAGGAACGACCATGTGTTTCATTGGTGTAAGGAGCAACTTAGCTGCGAACAATAAGGATATATAATAAACATTAATCAACATTATGTACTGTAACGGCACAGAATACACTAGGCAACATGTGACTGCAACAAGTTGCACAAGGCGACAAGTTACGCAACACATCAGAGCGACAAATCGCTTTGTATGTACTGGGGAATTTTTGTGAAATTTTTGTCTTTGCAACAGAATATTCTTGACGCAACAAGTTGCACATATTCAGTCTGATTTGACTTTGTGCGACTTCCTTGACTTTGCTCGACTTCTTTGTGCTCTAGACCATCAAAATGCACTCTAGAAGATTCTTCAAAGGTTCACAGGAAATCAAAGGGTAACACTGGTTACACCAGATTAATCTGTTTAACTCCGAATTACTAAAGTGTTACAAAATACTGCACGCTTCTGCGGTGTCCCCTGCCACATCTGGCTAAGCTAATTAATTCTATTGAATTAAATTAAACTAAATTAAACTGGTTTGCATTTGACATTGTGGTGCACTATACTTCTCAATGTACAAACCTCCATCTATCAATGCCACTGTAGAAATGTTCTGTTCACAGGCTCCCTCACTATGCACAGTACCCCAGCACCAGTCATAACACAAATATTGTCCTCCTACCAAAAAATTCATAACACCAAAAATTGGCACAAAAAAGTATTTATTAAAGCCAACAAAGCAACTGCAAACTGGTTACCAAACGTTAGAAGTAATAAAGAAACTGACTTAAAGGCCCATGTTCAACTGATGCATGACAAGGAACAGCTAGTGTCTACATTATGAGAACATACAAGAGAACCAACCAACAATCTGATTGCAACATTTAATGATGCAAGCATTCCAAAACAAAAACAACTGGTGCTTGACTTAATGTATACCCTGTTGGATGAAAGTGAGTTTTTAATCAATACTCTTTATGTAGCTCTTACCTTTCGTCATTAAATGCATCCTCAAAGAGACTTCAGGATCCCACGTAAAACATGCTACTCTGTCTTTCAATGAAGCTGGGAATTCAAGCTGTTGCTTAAGGTACCAGTGGTAATTATTTACAGTCCATAATTGAACTAGAAAAATAATACCATAACTAAATATTGAAAAATTATTACCAGTAATATTAAAAATTTTACTGAAGATTTCTGGTAAAAGCAAACAAACAAAACTAAAATCTCAGTCTATGGGCAAGCTTCCCTGAATATTTCTTATCCATAGTAATTTTTCATATTTATAACGGCAATACTCAAATTCCGCAAAACTCAATTTTTGTGTACTGATAATTAACCCTAAAGCCATTCTGCCCTGCAAGACCTAAGACAACTGGACAGTTTCTCCTTAGAATCTTTTTTTCCAGAGGCATTCATGTGTATTTAATTTTTCAAAATGGACATAAAGGAAAGATCAGACACAAGGGACTGCATAAAATGAAAGAATGGATGCTGTTATATTGTATGCGACTGTAGTGACTCTTAAATTTACCATAAGACTTTGGAACAAACTGTGATTCAGGTAAATCCTGAGACTGCAATTCTACTGCCCACACAGCTAGGACTGTTGAATCTACATTCCATGCCAGCTCCACAACCTTTGAAAAAAACACAGATCATTCATTTAATAATACATGTACCGCAAACCATTCATGTTTATTTCATGGCCAAAGTAAACCCACAACTAAAATTGAACACTTTTTGTAACTTATCATCAAACCAATCGACATACACTGTAGATGGGTGTGGGGAAGGTGCCTGGTGAAACCGAAGGGAGCCACAAGCGAGCCTAGAAAGTAACCATGAAAACCCTGTGAGTGACAGCCACCAGGCACCATCACGCTGAGAACCTCAGTGGAGAAATGTGCAGATACTTTCCAAAGGGCATCCAGAGGGAAGGGAGGGCTGGGAGCAAAACAGCTATAGCTACTGCAAGCAAAGCCAATGTGAGCCAAATGACCCGTCTCAGTAAAAGCACTGTCAAATTACTAGAGTTGTGCAAATAGCCAAGACTGCCCCCCTCCCCCATATACAGTTAGAGATTGCGACTGCTAGCCTGTGAGCAAGCTCTCTTGATGCTCCCAGGGGGGTACACCAGAGCACCCCGGGAGAGCTTGCTCGCAGGCTAACTGCTGGCCAGCATAATTATTTGTCTTGAGTTTAAATTAAATCACATTTAGCCACATAAAATATCTGAAAACAGGCTTACTTGTACTTCCATCTTGTTGAAAGGCAAAATGAATTCACCATGTCTAAGGCCATTTCTTTCAAAGAAAATGATCTCATGTCTATGGGGTTTTCGTTGGGATGAAGCTATCAAGCTGCCAGATGGTCTAAAAAGGTACAAAGAAAAAAAAAAAAGGAAAAACTCGTTGAGACATACAGTTTCTCATGACTTCTGATGAACTTGTCACTCAGTGACTTGATAGCTGTAAGTGAATGTCCCTCTTTGGCCAGGCATACAGTATGGAAATATAATTATATTCTTATTATTATTAACTGCCGCCCAGTTAGCTCAATTGGATAAGCGCCAGTCTGCTGAGCGGGAGGCCGTTGGTTCAAACCCCGGCCAGACCAACACTCAGGGTCTTTAAATAACTGAGAAGAAAGTGCTGCCTTTGTAAAGACATCTGCAAACAGTTAGACTTTCTAGTCTTCTAGGATAAGGAGGATAAACCACAGGCCCCATTTTGCAACCCTTGCAGATATAAATTCTGTGGGGTGTTAAAGAACCCACCCACTGTTTATAAGGATTAGGGGAGCGATGTAGTTCCTGGTGTGGTGATCTTTCTCCTCCTAGATAGCAAAACCAGATAAATGTACCTCGTAGATCACAAAATCAGCACTATTATATCCAGACAGGCTAATAGGACATCTAAGCAAATGCATGAAACAAATAATCCAAAAATATTACATTTTTTTAACAAAACATTAATTAAAAAAGTAATCAAGGTTTTAACACCAACTGTTGACAAACAAACCAGCAACTTTTTCCACAAGACTTGCATTGATGAAAAGTTTTCGCCATCGTTTGCGTGGGCTGAACTCTGTGGTGTCGACAGTTACAGGTGCAAATTGGTCACCAAGCTGTCCATGTAGGAAATGATTTGGGGTAGGTGGTTCAACATCTCGTGGTTCAGCAGACTGGTAGGTAAGTGCTTGAGAGTTTAGTGGCAACAGCAGTAATTAGCTCCTCAACGGTTACTGGCAGATTGAAATTCCACTTCACCCCTCAATAAGCTATGTCCTGCTGGATCTTGTTCTGGTCCAACTTACTGACTAGTTATTTCAGTTCACTGACAACTCCCACGAAGTTCATCCCACAGTCACCAATCATTTCCTTGGGCACAACTCTTTGGCTGGTTTTTCCTGTGAAGGCATTCAAAAAGCTGTCTTTATCCAGACCAAATGCTATTTCCAAATGAACTGCGAGAGTCAACAAGCAAATAAACAAGCAAAGCCACCTCTTTTGATGGTGCACACTTCTTCCCTGTACTGTGGTAACAGGCCCAGCATAGTCCACTGCTGTTTGGTCAAAGGGACGGAAGGTGAACCTAAGAAGGATCTTAGGAAGCATCCATGATCTGTGTTGATGGCTTTTTCCTCCTTCGTTTGCACATGCTGCATTCTCCCTCCCATTCTTGAATCTCCCCATGGACTGCAATTACCCAATACTTCTCACTTATTTGGGACAGCAGAAAATCAGTACCTGCTGAATGGTTGGCCCGTTCATGGTAACGCTTAACAATGAGCTTTGTAACCCAGTGTCCTCGCAGCAGTAACTTAGGAAATCGTACACCATATGGCAGGTAATTTCAGCAAATTGCAGTCTTTCATTAGAACGGATACCGCCATCCTCGTCGAGCACTGGGTTCAGCTTGAAAAGTGGGCTCTTAGGCCACAATGGCTTCCCAGACACTAAGGCCTTGTAATCGTTCATGAACGCTTCACGCTGGCATGACCGCACCACCTCATCCTCAACCTTGTTGATCTGCCTTTCTTGCTTTCTTGACATGTTGAGAACAGCTCTCCTTCACTCTTGCATAAACATGGACTAATCAGCTCCCATTGGAGAAGTGCTTTGGCTCCAATCTCCAGCCGGCGGTGGTACGTAGCTGTCTGATACAGTTTAGTCACATTCTGTGGTTGGTTTGCCTGCAGCAACATGTACATGTATGTGGTAAACTCTGTCTCCTGTTTCTTTCCTGTTTTCATCTCTGGCATGATGGTTGGGGGCTGGTCTACTGGCTGCATCTTCTACCACTCACTCTTCTTCTTACTCAGCCACTCAAGACCATCCCACCATAGAGGAGACTTGGCAAGTTCGACTTGACCAATTCCTCTGGAGCATGGGTCTGCTATATTTTGTTCAGTGGGAACATGCAGCCATTGAGCTGGATCTGTGTACATTTGTATTTCGCCAATGCAACAAAGGGGTGGAAATCTCTCCCTCGTCCTTGGATCCACCAAAAATGGCCCTGCTGTCAGAGTAGCGGGCTGCAGCCTTCAACTGCAGTACTTCTAGTGCTCTTGAAACAGACGGGGTTAACCTCAACCCAACAATGGCACTAAAAAATTCCAGCCTGGGTACAGTAATAGGTGTGGGCGGGCACTACATTGCTCTTGGAGGCTATCAGCTGTGTGGTTACCGAGCCCTCTTCATACTCGCTTTGTAAATATGACACAGCTCCATAAGCTTGCTGCGAGGCATCAACAAAGGTTACCACTTCCTTACATTTCACTGGCTGTGGTTTTCTCAGGCACCAGGGAACTTTGACCTCCTTTAAACATGGCAGCTGTGAAAACCAGTTCTGTATGCAGTAAGCCATTTCATCTTCAATTTCCTCTTCCCATTCGTAACCTCGACTGCAGAATTTTTGGAGCATAATTTTTGCTTGTATGATGATGGGACTGACCAGTCGAGACCTAGTGGATCAAAGACTGTTGCAACCTTCTTTAAAACATTACTCTCAGTAATTGGATAGTCAGACGGGACAGGTGTTGCAGGTATTATGAATGCATCTTCATTTCTCTTCCACTGCAGTCCAAGTGTTGTGGTGACTTTATCATTATTGTCCATAATGTTGACTTCCGTGGCATAGTCTTCTGCTGGTATGACTGCCATTACTTTATCTTAATTTGAAACCTATGTCCTGGCATGCACATCCCCTTTTCCCACAGTGCACTTAATGATGATACAGTTCAATCCCTTTCTCTTCTCCTTCAACACTGTCCAGCAAGTCATACATATAGGTAGACTGAAATACAGTTTCAGCAGCTAATGGGTACTTGCTTCAGTAATGCCTAGTGTTTTTTCTGTGCAACGAACTGGGCTTCCATGGCTGAGTTCTTTCCAAAAATGACTGCAGAACTCAACATCTGGGCTGCAAACTGTTTCCTTATGACACCATAGGATTCAGAACAACAGTTGGTCCCTCGACTCAATCTGTATCAGGAGACAAGGACACTGGGTTGCAGTGGAAACGGAGGAAAATATCAAACAACTCCCTCTGCAGTTTTAGCCCAGCGTGAATGATGTCATTAATTTTAGGGATATGCCATGACATTTTGCAGAACAGTCAAATACAATCCTTGCTTTTGTGGTAGACTTGCTCAATTTAACAATTGGGAAGTGTCGCAAGTACAAACTTCAGGGGCTCATGAACTTTGCGAAGATACCCTTTTTCCTCAAGTGTCAGTAACCTTCTGATAATCCTTCTCGACAAATCCGTTTTTCTTCAGGATTCTCTCAGTGCCGCGAAGTGGGATTCGATCTGCCACTTGTTGACTGTTCAGTCAACAAGGCCTCTGTTCTTTCCAAGGCACTGCAACATTGTACCTCCCATCATTGTAATGAGCAGAACTGCTTACTGTGTCCAACACCAATGATTCTCTCCTCTTCAGTGTACACAATTCTATCACTTACTAACAACCCATAACTCTCGATCTCCCAAAAACACTTGAGTGTTTAATCCAGCTCACAACAACCTCCAGTTCCACCAGTGCACCCTGTATCCTTGATTACCAGTAACAACGTTTGGATGGTGTATGTTCTTGTTCCAGACTGCCCTCTACTATCAGGTCATGTCCAACACAAATCCATCCCAGTGGTCCCAAATGAGCAATGGGTTCACCCATGTTTCCATGAATATCAACAAACAAGTAATACAAATCAGCATAATCAACCCCAATCAAAAAGTCCACCAATCTATCCTTTACTGGCAACAGGAAATCACACTGGACAAGGTGAGGCCACCTAACTTTACTTGCCCTCCAATTTTCAACTTGATAGCTTCCAGTCACACCACGGGGACACGTCTTCACTTCAATCTCCTTTGTCAACTGCCCATTATTAACACTTTTAATCATGAGTCTCAATGGCATAGATTGAGAGCTAGGTCTCCACAGAGTTGTTCAACACATGGATCAGTTAATTGATAAATGTTATTTTGCGAATTCGAGTCAAAAGTTCCTCGAAAAATATGGTAGCATTACTCTGCATGATCTTTTAATAACTGCTAGAGCTCAAGAAGCAGTTGATTTACAAATGGTAGCAATAGGGAACACTAATTCAGAACAGGTCAATAATGTCACTGATACTGCATTGAATGGGAAAGGTGACAGGAGGGGTTGTTTTAACTGCGGCCAGGATGACCGTTTTGCAAGGGATAGATGTCCTGGAAGGGGTCATGAATGTGACCAGTGTGGAGAAATCAGTCATTTTAAAGTGGTGTCGGAGAGGGAAAGACCAGGTCTGTATAGCTGGGGTAGGAAAGTTGAGCAGAAGATAAGTGATAGCGACAAGGAGATGGTGATGGCAATCAGCACTGGTCTGGAGTATGTGTTTTCTGTAAGAGATGAGACATGACAGAGTAGTGGAATAGTAACCCTGCAGGATGGTTAGATAGTGATGGCAATGAGAGCAAAAGTGTAGAGCAGGATGAAAGTCCCAGCACTGGTCCTGAGTATGTGTTTTCTGTCGGAGATGAGACATGACAGAGTAGTGGAATAGTAACCCTGCAGGTTGGAGGTGTCCATTTGCCAAATGTTCTAGTTGACGCAGGTGAAACAAGCACCCCGCTAGGCAAACCAATGTGGGAGTGGCTTAAGACTCAGAAATTCAGTGCAAAACCCGAAAAGATGCCAGGGTCTTATTTGCATATGGGAACACCAAACCACTACCAACCTTAGGAACATTTACAGCCCATGTTGTGTACCGACACTAACGTTACTGTTGAAGCTGACTTTGTGGTTATAGAGGGAGATGCAGGACCCTACTATGCTGAGACAGTGGAAAAACTGAACCTACTACACATTGGTCCCATACATTCTGTGAACAATGTTTGGGTAGAGACCACAGACCAAGATATACAGGGCAAATACAAGGAACTGTTTAAGTGGGGGGGGGCTCTTGAAGGGCTACAAGTTGAAACTTAATGTCGATACTTTTGTAAAACCGGATCCACAAACTGTCTGAAGAATCCCATTTGGTGTGAGAGAGAAAGTGGAGGAAAAGTTAGAGTTGTTGGCTTGTGGGATCATAGAAGAAGTACCAGAGGGACCAACCAGTCGGGTCTCTTCACTTGTTATTGCACCCAAACCTGATGGTGATGTTACAATCTGCATTGACATGAGGTGTGCCAACCAAGCAATAATTATTAGAGAACGTCAGCCCATCCCCACAGTTAAAGAAGTTCTCCAAGACTTGAATGGCAGCACAGTATTTAGTTGTGTGGACCTGACGTGGGGATTTCGTCAGATACTTCTTCCAGAGGATAGTAATCATGTGACAACATTATTTTGTGACTCACTGCAGTCTTTTTCATGTTTGGGGTGACTGTAGCACCCGAAAAAACAAAATGTATCAACAAATTATCCGGGATGTATTGCGTGGTCGTGAGGGGGTCATCAATATTGTGGATGACCTAGTTATTCATGGAAAGGGTATTGAGCAGCACGATGAGAGGCTTTTTGTTGTGCTCAATTGGTAAAAGGAGGTGGGTTTGACATTGAATGGGGACAAATTAACGTGAGTCCGAGTGACATTTTTTGGCCATCAAGTGACACAGAATGGGGTAGAAACTAGTGAGGAGAAGTTCGCAGCAATCCGGAATACAGATCCACCACAGTACGCCAGCAATCATTCCTAGGTCTGGCTTAATTTGTGTCTTAGTTTATTCAGACCTGTCAACTGTTGCAGAGCCCATCCAGAGATTAACTCACAAGAATGTGGAGTTCAAGTGGCAGTCACAAAAACAGGCTTCATTTGAGTTAAAGGAACTGATCACAAGTACAGTGGCATTAGCTCACTTCAATGTAAACAGTAAGACAAGGCTTGTGGCAGATGCTATTGGTTTAGAGGTAGTGTTGATTCAATTGAAAGGGGTTGAGTGGAGGGTTATTGCCTATGCTTCAAGAGGTCTGACAGATGTTGAGAGGAGGTACAGCCAGGTGGAGAGAAGCCCTGGCACTGGTGTGGGCTTGTGAACACTTTAACATGTGCATTTTTGGAAGGAATTTTGAACTGGAATACATAACTGTATTCACCAAAATCAAAGCCGTCCGCTCATGTGGAACAGTGGGTTCTCCACTTGCCAGCCTATGACTTAAGGTCAGCTACAGACCAGGAAGAACCAATGTTGCAGATGCATTGTCAAGGCTGAATTGTAGAGTACCCTGTGGTGATGGATAACACTATGACCATGTTTGCAACGTATTTGAGAATAGCACTCCTTGTGCTCTGACATCCTCTGAGATCAAGAAAGCTTCAGCAGGAGGCCCAGAAATAAGCCTTGTGAAAGAATGTTTGTGTACAGGAGACTGGAGTGCTTCTAATGTACCTGCCTATTTCCATGTGAAGAATGAACTGCGTTCTTATAGTAAGTTACTGCTGCGTGGTTCGAGAATTGTAATCCCCCAAGTGTTACGGGAGTAGGTCCTGAAATTGGCTCATGAAGGACATCAAGGAA